TCATTTGCGATCTCCAAGCAGCTTTTTTTACTCATTTTGCGGACTTCAGCGTTTTGTTTATGAGCGTTATCGGTCACGTGACCGAGAAGTGTGGCTTGACTTGAGTCAAGCGGGACACAGACGGATGTAACAGAGAATCCGGTAATTTTTCAAAATAAAACACATTTCGTATTCCGAAATAAATAAAACGGAAATAAGGCAAGTTCTTTCTGTGCGGCCCGGTACCAAATGCCCTGCGGACCGGTACCGGTCCGCGGACCGGCGGTTGGGGACCCCTGATCTAGATCACAGGTGTCAAAGTCAAAACCCCACATAAATTTATGTGGCCTGTGAAAACAATTCACGCACAAACTTTTATATCAATAATGTCGAGATTTTGTGATAATGTTGTTACCTGTTAACACTCACTCAAACAATAATTGAACAAAATATGGCTGGTTTCAGAATTGTTGTTATTAATAAATCATTTCATCATTGTATTGCTGATATTCACTCCATGTACATCACTAAATACAGCGATGTTTGATCACACATAAACAGCCATTTACATCTATGGAGAATTTAGAGTCTTCCATCGATCTAACATTTCTGTTTTTGGAATGTGGGTAGAAGCCAAAGTACCTGGAAAAAAAGCATAGGGAGAGCAGCCAAACTCAACTTAATAATTGTTGGCTGCGAAAAGGAACATATCTCCTCTTTGAAATGAGATGGACAATTTGTACTTTAATAGAGTTTATTTGACACTCAATTTTGAGTGTTTTTAGCTGCGCTTGTCATCGGGCAGGTATTCGACGTGGGTGAGAGCAGAGCGCTGGCCCTCGAGTATCCCGAAGAGAGTTCCGGCATTGGTGCGTGGCGGACGTTTGTTCTCGGTGCTAGTTTGGCTGACGCTGTGTCTCGGACGGCAACAGCCCCCATCGACCGCCTCAAGACCCAGCTACAGGTCAGCATCATTACGGATTTGTTTCATTTGTCTTTACAGATTTTGTTACGGCCCCCTGAAAAGAAAGTTGAAGTGATGTGTTTTGGTCTCAGTGGTCTAGTGTAAAAAAGACTATAGTGTGGATCAAAAACCATTTTATGTGAATAAAACATCTTTTTGTGACATCATCACGTTGTTGTTTTTGCAGTTTTATGGCCCCAAGGCCTTTTCTCGGGGCTTCCAGGAGCTTGGTGTTGGTGGCCTTCGTTCTATGTGGCAGGGCAATGCTGTCAATGTCCTGAAGGGAACGCCGCAGTCCACACTCCAGTGTCTCATCTACGCACAGGTGGGTCTGCACCTCAACCATCAAACTGTCTGAACCATCTCTTTGTTTCTCATGAATGTTTCTTCGTCTGGATTCAGATGAAGGTGTCCATGCAGGGCAGAAGTCAGGGGAGTCTGAGCGTGCAGCAGCGCTTTGGCTTGGGTTGCGTGTCTGGTGCTGTGGCTCATGCTGTCTTCTACCCTCTGGAGGTATCACAAAGAGACAAATTGTTAATAATAATGCAATAATGAGCCACCAGTGACATGGGAATGCCAATCAGATTGCTTGGTTGTCATCGGCTATGATTCTCATGGACACTAACGGGAATATTTGCACAATTAACTGAGGAACCCAGACGACTTTTTCTCATAGAGATCCCACATAATTGCCGCAGCAAAACTGTAATAGAAGATCTGTCATTTATCCACCATTTTAGCTCTTCTCTGCCGTGCCCCCAACATATGCAAGATTTTGCAGAATATCCTTACACTACACACAGGTGGTGCCCCTCCTCTGTTATGTCCCAACAGGTGTTGAAGGTGCGGCTCAACCTGCAGCGAGTAGGCGCCTATCATGGCGTAGTGGCTTGCGCTCGATCTATTTACCGAAACGAGCCCTTGACCTCGTTTTACAGAGGATTTAAGCCCAGCATCCTCTGCATGATCCCGTATGCTGGAGTGGAATGTGCAGTCCATCAGGTAATTGGGTACTGAGCAAATACTCGCAACCCCAGTCTGGTAACCACAACGCTAACAGATTATTCATTTGCGACATCACAAGTCTATCATGACCTGGGCCCAGAGCGATCCAGCCTACAGCAGCGACTCCAGGCTCTTCTTCTTCAGTTTTGTGGCCTTTGCTTGCGGACAAGTGAGCAGCTACCCTCTGGCAGTGATAAGAACGCAGCAGCAGGCGCAAGGTAGAGGCCTCTCGCATCAGTGCATACAAGCCATTTTTTTACACCGTACTAGTTGCCTTGGTTAGTTTTCTCTGTCAAATTGATTATGTTGAACACAACCCACATAAGAAGATTTGGAGTGTTTACTTTCACTTGTTTTCCTCAACCACATGGACCAGGTCCATGGTTTTGCTGACAAGGTACTGTGCAGTGGAAAAATTGATTGTTTTGGATCATTTCTGACAATTTCATCACCTGCTTTCTTGTTTCCCAGCTGTCTGTTCCGGCTCACAGGCCGCGTCGTCAGGCATCCTGCAAGGGCTCATCGGGATATACAAAAGACATGGACTGCGGGGCTACTACAACGGAATGGGGGCCAGCTTCATCAGGGCCGTTCCGTGCGCCCTCATGAACTTCACCTTATGCAGAACATTTGAAAACCTGTTTTCCTCCACAAGCACATGAAGAGTGGCAGAGTCATTGAATCATGTGCCACACAAAATTTGCAAAAAAAATGCAAACTTTTCCTCGTGTTTGTCAGTGTTCCAAGCAATAAAAAAGTGGCATTCTTGCTCAGATCAGCCACAGGGGTTGTTCTGACTCATGCACAACTTTCTTTTGCTCACAAGCAAATGATTGTTTTTGTAAAGTGTGTGTAATGTAATGTAAATGCCTCAATGAACAGTCCTCCACTGTGTGGAGCAATTATTTTCATTTCATCACCTCCACTCCATAAATGTACTTACTAATTAATTATACATTGTATTCGTATTGTAATGCACTGCGGTGAGGATCTATCTATCTAGAAATCGAACCCTACCCCTCTGCACTGTCGTGCTGATCTATCTATCGAGCTATCTAGCTCCTGTATCTATCAACCACACACAACAAACGCTGTTTTCCAAACACTAAAAGTGACACTAATTATCGCGAGACAAGCGCGTTTTGGCGAGAGTTGTTTCGTCATCCTCCCGCGTATGTAACCCGCCATCTTGTCGCGTCGAGGAGAAGAGAGGCACAGCTTGCCTAAGATATGGCGGACTACAGCAGCGTGGCTCCACCGTCCAGTGGCGGCGGCATGAATGACGCTTTTAAAGACGCTCTCCAACGAGCACGACAGGTGAGCAAGGTCCCGGCGTTCTTTCGAGTCGGCCATAGAGTCGTTTTCGGTTTGGGAATATCGGGTTTTGGGGGTTTCAACACCCCCACCCCCATCCTCCTCGAGCTATGCTAACGCGGGATGACTTGTGCTAACATGACGCCACTACGGCGGTTACGGAAAATTGCGAAGTAGCTGCCACACGACAGGACATGTTGTCAATATGTCGGCGTGCAAATACGTAGACAAGATGAACATGCCAAAATATGCTCACAGAAAAAGGTCAACCGTGTCCACACAGGCGTAAGGAACATTCCTTTGTTGGCCCAGACGTCCGGACGCGAGTCGTACAAGGCCGCGTGTACTTGGACAGACATAAATGCCACATCAAAGAATACATGTGACCACAAAGTTTTAGTTTTTGACTTGATGTGTTTCAGATCGCAGCGAAAATAGGCAACGATGGCGTTGCGGCTCCCCCGACGACCGAGTTTGGGTACGGAGGCCAGAAAAGGCCCCTGGAGGACGCTGGTGGGTATTTTCCCATGCCTAACCTGAATATCGGTCAGTGGCTCAAATCGATTCCATGCCAGTTCAGTGATCAATTGTTTGCCTGCTGTATGTTATTTTTTTTTTAAAAAAAACGAATTAACCAAACAAATGTTTTAACTCTTTACTTTAACCCATTAATCCCAGTGCACGATTTGCTCTGAAAAGGCATGTTTGGTGTAACTAACACTGCGATTTAATGTAAGATTTTATACAATAGCCCTCATAATCTTTTTTGTCTATAAATCAAAGTTATGCAATAGGATGTGTCAAGTGTAACTTCAAGCAATCTCCACAAGCAGATTTTAACATCTCAAACCATTTTTAAAACGTGAGACCACATAGTGTGCTGAAGTGTGGCCAACATAAAGAGCCTCTCAAAACAATGAATTGTTGAAGGGCTGTAGCATTTTTTAAATATTATTTCCATATGCATGGTGAATTATCAGATGCGCTTACTTTGTTATTTGAACTTAAGTTCAGCGAATATTTTGAAGTGTGGTTGCTCCACTCGCCTTAAAACTGTCATCTGGTTAATGCTGACTAATCATTTCCAGTAAATGGGGGAGAAAGATGGTGTTGGGACAATTGTAATGATGCTTGTTTTATCACATCGTCACAGACCAACCAGAGACAAAGAAAGTGGCGACCAATGACGGTGAGTCATCTGGACGTCTAAAGGTATTGTTTGTGTCCTGGTTGTATCTCATCATTATTTGTTCTTTTTCAGCTTTTTCTGCTATGGGAGGAATGGGCGGCCCCCCTAGGTGAGCTCAATTAGCAGACAGGAGTAATAATTACCCAAAAAAGGGATTATCAGTGGGGTCATCGGTAAAATAATCAATCACCTCTTTTGTAACCGCAACACTAAATAGAATTACTGAAAACATTACATTGCATTGTCTCCCCAAACCCCCACCTTCAGATCAATATCAGAGGAATTCAAGGTTCCTGATGGAATGGTTGGATTCAGTAAGTTCACATGCCTGTTTTTTATCTGTTGTTTTTGCTGTGAAATACACTGACTCGTCCTTTTGTCTAGTTATCGGACGGGGCGGTGAACAAATTTCGCGTCTGCAGCAAGAATCGGGATGCAAAATACAGATTGCCCCTGGTGAGTTTGGTGTTAAGTCGGAAGAACTAGTCATATTTTTGCTCGCCGTGTTTTAATTGGCTTTCTGTGCTCTAGACAGCGGAGGGATGCCTGATAGGTCAGTGACATTGACGGGAGGACCCGATGCTATTCAGTAAGTACTTTTTAATATGCAAGAGTCATGTTTTTGGATTATTACATCAGTATTGTTGTTACCTGGTTGTCGTCTTCTCAACAGGACAGCAAAGAGGCTACTCACGGAGATTGTCGAGAAGGGCCGACCGTCCCCCGCATTCCACCACAACGATGGTCCAGGCATGACTGTTCAGGAGATTATGGTCCCTGCCTCTAAAGCCGGCCTCGTCATTGGCAAGGGAGGCGAGACCATCAAGAGTCTTCAGGTGGGCATTTTAACTGTCAGATAAGCAAAAATTCATGTGCAGTGCATGCTAAATTGTTGACAGTTGCGTTGCAGGAAAGAGCTGGAGTGAAGATGGTCATGATTCAAGATGGCCCCCAAAACACAGGCGCCGACAAACCTCTCCGTATTTCGGGAGAACCCTTTAAAGTTCAGGTGGGTTTTAACTTTTTGGGGGAGGGGTAGGCACTCTAGAGTAGAGATGTAAAAATAAATCAATTGATTGATGACCAAATTAAACAGAACCATTTTAATATTCGAGTAATTACACGTCATTGTTTAACTTAAAATCATGCAAGTCAACTGTTTTCAGCTTCTCACGGTTAATTATTCTTATTTCAGTAGTCCTTCATGAAAAGCCAACTAATTATACATATTTTTTAAATCAAAATAAGACATGCAAACATCTCTTTTAACTTTGGGAAACAACGTGAACCACAAACCAGTTTCAAACAGGTTGGTGACGAGCAGACATCAATCCTCTTTTTGCTTAGTTATTTTTTTAATCACTAAACAATACCAAATGAACAAAAAATGGCTAATAAACACGAATTGGGTATAATAATAATACACCTTAATGCAAACCTATTTTTATCATATTAATTGATAGAATACTCAATGGAATAATTTCTTAGCAATATTTGATTGTGTCTGACCTATTCTACATGTCAACCTGTGAAACGTTTCACATAAAATGGACTTTCTACAGCAAGCCAAAGAGATGGTGATGGAGCTAATCAGAGACCAGGGCTTCAGAGAGCAGAGGGGCGAATATGGTTCCAGAATCGGAGGTGGCGAGACATTAGATGTGAGTCAACCGTCTTTCTTGAGGGACAGGCCTTTTAGAGCGGTGACATCAATGTGGGCGTTGTCGTCCTCAAGGTTCCGGTTCCACGGTTTGCAGTCGGAATTGTCATCGGCAGAAGCGGAGAGATGATCAAAAAGATCCAGAGCGACACAGGGGTCAGAATCCAGTTTAAGCCAGGTCAGTAATCACCACCACCTTGAATGCCTTTTCAGGAATGTTGGTCAATGATTAAAACTCATGCACCACGCTGACAAGCTGATGGATCACCTAACCCTATTATTCTGAGACCGTAGCCCAACGATGTCAATGAAAGGAAATGAAGAAAAGGAAAGCACAGTTTCTCATCTTCTTGTTGTTTTCCAGATGATGGCAGCGCACCGGACAGGATAGCACAGATCATGGGTCCTCCTGACCAGGCTCAGCACGCGGCAGAGATCATCTCAGACCTGCTGAGGAGCGTCCAGGCCGGTGGGCCTCCGGGTCACGGAGGCGGTGGCGGCGGCAGAGGCCGAGGACGTGGGCAGGGCAATTGGAACATGGGGCCCCCCGGTGGCCTCCAAGAGTTCTCCTTCACCGTCCCGACCATGAAGACTGGTCTAATTATTGGAAAAGGCAAGATCACATAGCGGTCACCTTTGGCGTAGAAATAATTGGATACAAACAGTGTGATCAATTCTCCTCCAGGTGGTGAGACCATCAAAGGAATCAGCCAACAGTCGGGGGCCAGGATTGAGCTACAAAGGAATCCTCCTCCCAACTCTGACCCCAACGTCAAAATGTTTACCGTCAGAGGCTCACCTCAGCAGATCGACTATGCCAGACAGCTGGTAGAAGAGAAGATTGGGGTGAGAAAAAGGGGTCTACCTACAGCAAGGTTGGGGAGTTCAGGTTTTCCACCAGAGATCTATGACCAATCTTCACTGCAGGAGTTGCCTAAGAACGTTTGGCGGACCAAATTGTCCGGAATATAGACCATTTTAATTTGTCCGGTTCTGATTCCGGCTCTTCGATTCGGTTCCCAAGGATTATCAGTTCCCATTCTTTAAAAAAAAAAAAAATGAAAAGAGGGAGCTCGTCAAAGATATTTTGGTAAGCAATGTGTTAATGTCTGTTCTTAAATTTCATTAACTTTTACGATGAATTATTTTTAACCGGTATATTACTGTCTTAACGTAAGAACTTGAATTTGAGAGCGAGCTTGATTTTTGAGATGTTGCATAATGTCCGATGGGACGCCTCCTTTGAAATTTCCTATCGTGCTGAACTAAGCAGATGACACACATTTTCTATTGGTTCTTTGTTTGTGCTTCTTCCGCGCAGCTGAGTAGGAATCAAAGTTCAACACACATTTTAAAATTCTGGCAGAACTGGAATATTACTCTCGCTTCCTCTGTGCCCAACCACAAGAACAACTCGTTGCCATTTTAAGTTTGGCAAGTCTGTTTGCGTACTCAATACTCTGCCGTCATATGTGCCAATAACTAAAAGTCACTGGAACCTTTGATGGAAATGGCCAGAATCACTCGTATGATCTCGGACTGTATCCCGAATTTTATCTATTTCTTTTGTTTGTTTATTGTATTTCTATCTTTTGATCAGGGACCCGTCACTCCAATGGGTGGCCCACATGGGCCCCCTGGTCCACATGGAGGTCCAGGCCCACATGGTCCTCCAGGCCCTCCGGGACCCCCTGGTGCTCCCATGGGTCCATACAACCCCGGGCCTTATAACCAGGGACCCCCAGGACCACAGTAAGTCCACTTGTTTTCTTGTCAGCTTTGAAGTGTAACAATTTTGTGACACTTGTTTTTATTTTGGATCAGTGGTCCCCCAGCACCTTACCAGCCTCAGGGGTGGGGCAATGGCTACCCGCACTGGCAGCAAGGACAGCCTGATCCAAGTATGGACCTGGCATCTCTCACTTGAGCTCTTATGATAAATTTTGTCTTGAATTTTTTTTTGTTATTGTCCACTATGGGTTCAGACAAAGCAGCAGCTGATGCTAATGCTGCAGCATGGGCGGCCTACTATGCACAGTACGGCCAGCAACCGCAGGCTCCCATGACACCTACCAGTGGCGCACCGGGCACGACTCAGTCCAACGGTCAAGGTAATGGTCATCCGCGCAGTGTCAAGTGTCTTCTAGCTGATGACTAGGTTCATGTCATTAGTCTTTAGCTGGGTTTTTGGTTGACAGGAGAAGCCCCCCACCCCAGCCCCTCTTTTTTTTTTTTTTATAATGTCAGAGACAGGGTAGAGTCCTCCGCCATCTTTAGGTTGAGAGCCCCATGGAGGAGGAAGGCCTGCTCGGAATGATTGACAAATTACAAGTACCGTTTTTTTTAACAGGTGACCCACAGGCTGCAGGTCAGAGTGGACAGGCAGATTACACCAAGGCCTGGGAGGATTATTACAAGAAAATGGGTATATGAATGTAGTCTCAGTGTACACCTATTTTAACATGCGTCAGTCTAAACAGCAACTAGGCTGTCGATACGGCTTTTTTTTTTTTTAATTACCAGATCTGGATAGTCAGTATTTCAGGCCCTCAGTGGAGTGTAATAGATATTTTTTTAGTACACCTCCATTCAGTTTGACCTTGAGCAGCCTGTGCTGTTTAGACTGCACCACTCTCAATGTCTCCTGGACTGAACTACCCTTTCATGCGCTTAGGAATAGTGTCTTGTTTCCAAGATGTATTTGTTCTTTTGGACATGCTATGATTGTCTCCTTGCTATACAGAGTGTGTTTACTCATTGTAATGTGTGGGATCTTGCTATAATGGTGCTGCTGCTGCCGCCGCCACCGGGTGACTGCGCCACATTCTGACAAACATCATGTCTTCTTTGTGCAGGTCAACAGAGCCAGCAACCTCAGGACTATACTAAAGCCTGGGAGGAGTATTATAAGAAACAAGGTGATTTGTTTTCCATACTGTTGGGAGTTGGGGGGGCGGGTGTGCTCCTCACGCAGCACTCTACAGTAGAGATGTTGCTCGCGCAGCCTCCCAAGACAAACGCAAAAGGTTTCTGACCCCCATTCAGAGACATGTGTGGCGGGTTCGTTCCCCTTCTTACAAATAGAACACATCTATACTAGACGTCAAATTGTGTTTAATCATTTTGTAGTTTTAAGCAAAGACCAACTATCTTAGTTTCAGGGTTGATTACAATCAGCAAATATTATAGGTTAATTCATTTCTTCAAGACATTTTGTTTCCGGTTAGACCGGCTTTTCACTGTTCCTTGTAAGCCACACCGAAGTTATTACCATGCACTGTATTGTCTTATCTACAGTTGTTGAAAGTAGTTAAACAGAGCAATTTTTTTTTCATATGCGAGCCAGCCCCATGTAGCTCTAGGTTATTGCTAAATTCATGCTACACAAAGTAGCTTGTTTTGTGTGTAGTTGAAGGATTTTTTTTTAACTGATGTTGAGGCTTTTTGTGTGTGTGTCGGGGGGGGGGGGTTCTTATCTGCTTATGCAAAAATGTTTTTCAATTGGCTCGGTCATGAAAAAACTGACGTGTGTGTTTGACAGTATTATCTTGAATTTAGTTCAAATTAATCATAAAGCCGAAAAGTTGTTACTTTTTTTCTGGAGGGGAGAAAAAAAAATCACACTTGGTTTAGTTTTTCAATGAATGACTGGGAGTACTGTACATTCCTCAGAGGAAAAACATGAATGGGTCAATTCACGAATATGTAGTTAGCTTCAGGGGATTACTGTGCATTGATTTTTTGTTTTCCTTTTCACACATCAGATCAGTTTTTTTTAATAGTTCTGCCTTAGTGCCAATTTTATAGGCGGTTTTCATGTTTAGCCTTTTATAAAAATGGGAAACAATATGACTGTGAATATTATACCATATTTTGAGATATAACAAATTGTTCAGCTTTAGTTACACTTTTTAATTTTACAAGTGGTTTTGATATTGACGCTTTTTTTTAAAAGGGAAATGATGTAGGTGTGTAATCACACCAGTCCACCTCAATTTTACAAATGTTAGTTTGGGAATCTGTGTTTTAATTGTTTAAAATCAAGAATCGTGCCCTTTTGTTGTGCCTCGTCATCATGTCTCCCGTCCTATCCCCTCCAAGGTCAAGCGGCCCCACAGGCGGCAGCACCAGCAGCCGCCGCAGCACCCACCACCCAGCCCGGCGGGCAGCCAGACTACAGCGCCGCCTGGGCTGAGTACTACCGGCAGCAGGCAGCTTACTACGGCACAGGCAACCCACAGACCATGGGAGCGGCACCACAAGCCCCTCAGGTACCCTTCTCTCCATTTTGAATAACCAAGTGCACGGAATAGTCCAATATGGCTTTCCTAACCCCCTTGCTCCTGCAGGGTTTACAGGGTTCCGGTGTGAGCAGAAGCAGCAGCAGCAGCGTTCTAACATAAACTTTCCTTCCTGCACAGGATGTCCGCAGTTTTTTTTCCCCGCTGTTAACATGCATTGTATCTTCTATGTATTTCTCCTGCACAGGGCCAGTAATGCGAAGTGGACATAACGTAAATGCTTCATTGTCGAACACAAATCCTTTGTTAAATGTTTGGATGCAGACGCCTCGGTGAAGATCTTAAATTTCCTTGGTTTAGAAAGTGTTTCACATAGATGGCAAATTACCCGCCGAGCATGTCCTCTCTCCTCCATTTAAATATTTTTGTTTTTCTTGTAAATGTTTTGTTTTTAGTGAGGCAACTCAACTCATATGGTCATTCCAGCCCTGTATCTACATTAAATGTGGTTAGAAGTCATGTTTGATTGAACTGTAGACATTACCATGTAAATCATCTCAGTTTTAAAAGGAAAAACAATGCTTATTGCCTGTTGTGTTTTTTGCAATAAAACAAACTGAAACCTTCTGTGTTGGTAAGTTGGGGCTCACCTTAGTGAGAAGAAGAGGGCGGGATGTTATGTTAGCTACTAGCGGGCCACCTGTGGGTTGACACAAGGCGATGCTCTCCTGTTTCTCTCCAACTGTCTACAAGACGCTTGTTGATTGACACTTGCTGTTTGTTGCCTTGCTTTCTCTCTTGATGACTTGAACCAGACGACTTGTGTGCGTTGTTGTTGAGCTAGAATGCACATGTCATTGTTCTTGCCTTGACGTGTAGACACTTCCTCCTCCACAGGCGAGTGTAGAAAAGTGGTAAGCAAGACATTTTTTTTAATCCCCTCTTGGAAAGTGATTGCAAAGTAATGTTGCCTATTTTTATTAGTGTTCCCTTACTTTTCTTCCAGGACAGTCAGGTAAATTGTATGATGCATTTTTTGTCCTGCCCAATGTACTCTTAATCTGTACGCATTTTTTTAAATGATAAAACCAATGCAAAAAAGAATATTTTTTTGCTGTGCCACTGCTGTTAGTGTCATGTCCATTACGAGCATTGAGCTCTGTTGGCTCGGGCAGGGGGCAGCTAACGCAGTCCACGTCCAAGTTGAGCCCTCCTGTCCTGTAAGTACCCCAACTGACCACTGAGTCGAATGATCCTTGCAAAGTATCGATTATATTTTTGTTAAATCTTGCCATTTCCCCTCTTTTGTCTTTGGGTAAGTATGCACTGTTGTGAAGTCAGGCGTAGACTCTTGACTGTTGAATTCACTTTTTGTATCGCTTGCGTCAGACACTAGCTTAGTGTTGATTGTCGGTTACGCTCACTCGGTTTTTGTTCCTGATTGTTCTCTTTAAATGCCCCACCTACCCCCCATCTCTCATATTACAAAATGTTTGCTGATCAAGATGATGTGCAGCGTAGCATGCTTACTTAATTAGCCTTCTCCCGCGTTACCGATGCTATATTTGAGCATGTCATACTGAGTTGTGGGCTTGTCACATGAATATTGATCGATTGATTTGAATGAGCACTGTTGTTTAAAAAGGCATTTGATTTGAAATTTATAGATCAGAAAGGAGAAATCATATTGACTGCAAGTATATATAAATATATATCTATATAGTGCAATATATATCTGATCTTTGCAGTGTTCCCCCCCAACCCCCCCAGACCTTGCACCTTAGGTTCTGCTGCAGTAACCCAGGTAAGCAAAGCCTAAGGAACCAATCGTAAATTACGGTGGAACCTCCAAAGAGGAAAATTTCCATTATTTTCTGGGCAAATATGCGTTGGCATGGTAATGTCAAATCATGCAAATGAATTAGGAGTGTGAGTATAAATGTCACAACTATGGGTTTGTGGTGGAGAGGGAGATAAAAGTGTACCACTGATCATTCCATGTTTCCACAATTTTCGAAAGTGACATGTTCTCAGTTGTTCCCATGTCTCGAGTCACTTTATGGTACGTAGTGCCTATTTACGCTTACATTGGAATTGGAGGCTCTTGCTTAAAAAAAAAAAAAAAAAACTACATCGCCCACGCCCCTTTTTTTTGTACCAAGTCAAAATGACCCCATTGTGAAAGAAACAATACAAAAGTCATGTATCATTTTTTTCCCCAGTTATGCAAATGATTAGTAATAGACTGAGCAGGACTCTAGATTTTGTTTTTGACACTTGGGGCTAATTAACACTTACCCGGGTCGAACTAACAGAACACGATTTCTGAGAAACCGTACAGAAGGATTGAAACTCATGACAAGTTGATGGTGTATTCTAGTAAATCTACAAATGTGTGTCATTGTTGTTTGGAGAACAACTAAGTGAACCAAATGACAATTGTTCCGCTTTGGAGGTTCCACTGTCTGTTGTTGGCCGATTTGGCCAGTTTTCCCATCCGTGCAAAGAAATGCTCACCCTGTCAATTAATTCATTCTGAACTGAATAGTGACACTTATGACTTATACGACCTTGTGGACTTGACTCAAAAGTATACACTTGCTGGTTATGAGGAATATTGCGTTAAGCACAATATGAGAGGCCTTCATTGTTTTGTTTTTTAATTTTCGTGCATGTCATGTAAAGCTGCTGCAGGTATCCCTGGGTAGGGCCATTTTCTGAACAAAAATAACGTGATGTTGACCAATGTTAATCTGGTGGTGTGCATTCTGTCAAAAGCGCAGTGCTGACGTACTCATTGATACGCCTTCACTTCTCGCTCACAGTGTTGGAGGACGCTGGAAGCTTAGGCGCTAGAATCAGAGCCTGTGGTAGTTTCTGCCGAGCGTAGGCCGGGCAAGAGCTCCAGTGCTTAAGGTAAAAAAAAAACAGACCCAATTAAAAAGTCATGTCATATTTGTGACTGCGAAAAGTGCTAGCTCGGCATGTCTTCTGCTCGGGTTGACTGTTTTAATGCTGCCATAGTGATTTTAAAGTCGTTTGATGGTTGTCATTCATACTAAGTCGTCTTGGTTGTTGGAATGAATGCTTTAGAAAGTTGGATGAGGACAGGAATTGAACTTTGAACATGTTGTATTGTGTCATTGAAATGTCCCACTAAGGCTCTTACATTTTTAGGGGGTGGGGGTTGTTTAGCCAAGAGGAAGCCTTCCATAGGTAAATGTGCTGTACGATATGCTCACTCATACTGTAATGTTCATTCAGAATAATAAAGGTGTCACAAACAAATCAGATGACTACCTGGCTCATGACAGACTTATCAACATTTATTTGGTTTTAAAACACATACTCACTTCCGACATGGAGCAAGTTCCGGAACATTTATTTACAAATCACGAACATCACTCGTTGTCCAGGACCTATTTATTTATTCTTGACAGCGCAAAGTTAACACATATGTGCCGCAGTGAAGACAAGCCCCAAATGGACTCTCGGTGGACATTTTGACCCTTTCAATTGCCCTCTTTTGCAGTCAACCTATTGCACCAGACATTAAAATGCCCTTCAAATAGTTATTTCCTCTATGTACAGTACAATGAACATCTCTAGTTGAATACAATGAATTCAGGCCACAAATGACTCCAAAAATATCCTATACCGAGTACGTGTATTAAAATAAATATTTTAACATGCATTTTGTGAAGAATTTGTTTGAATTTGAACTCAATTTTAAAGTGTGATAAAATGATTTAAACTAAAGCGCAGCTTATTTGGTATTCAGTGTGCTCGAACCGATGATTGGATACCTCCTGATTGACGATACATTTCCCCCCCTAAAATGTGTCAGAGGATCTCTAGTTTAAAAAACCCCAAAAACTCTACAATTTTTGGAGTTAAACCAAACTGCGAGAAAAGACAAATCTTTTTCTGCCCTTCTTATGAATTACCAAATTGGTACCAGTGATGGTAAGCAAAGTGCAAGAAATGCTTTTCTCTCTCTTACACACACCACTGCACAAGCTGAGAGAGTCTTGCACTGCCCATGCCTGACAAGTGTCTTCAATGGTGAGTAGTTTTACTTTCTAATTGTATAATGCAGTGTAAAACTTATCCAAGTATGGCAATTCGCTTTGTTCAAACATGATTCACATTATTTCCGAGGACAGAATTGGTCTGGAAACAACTTAAAAGACAATGTCACAACAGTGACACTGGAGGTTTCACTGTGTATGTGTATACATGATAACTACACCAGGTTATTTGTACATAAGACACAAAATTGCACTACTCACAAAAAGGGATATTTGGCTTTCAGGTTAGATTTCAGGACAAGCCTAAAATGCATTCAAACCTTTACAGGTGACCTTAATGTGACCTTAACTTTGGAATACACATGTCCAACTGTTAAATGTTGCACTACTTTTTGTACAAGTTGCTGTTCTCAAACAATGAGCGTCACGGCAAAATTCACAACAGGTGTTTGAGCAATAAAGGTCCTGGTTCAATGAAGAGTGGTGTAAGAAAAATTCGGGGACTCCCGGTTCAGGATGGTGGTTGGGTTTGGGTGTCCTCAATGAGCTGAAGCTCCATCTAGTGGTTATTTTGATACAATAGCTGCACCAATCATCACGCAGAGCATGAATAAAGTCCTAAAGTGATGGCATGATTGGAAATATGCTGTTAACAACCACTCACTGCATGCGAGCCTCCATGATAGCTGCGGGCAGGAGGTTGAGCATGGCGGCGTTGCAGCCGTTGGGTCGCAGGGAGTCTGCGCCCAGGTAGGCCAACAGCAGTTCAGAGCGGCGGTGCAACAGGTGCAACATGTCCTCAGCCAGGCTGTCCACGGACGAGTACCGAACCTTCTCTAGGTCAAATACGTCCTTGAGGAAATGCACCACCTGATCCTAAACAACCACAATGCATTAAGTCACAAAGCGGCAAATTGGATCACTAAAGGTGATGAGACAATACCTCAGAATTAAATATTCACATGAAGGAAAATAGTTAATGATTTTCATTTGAAAATCGATAGTTACGTTTTACTTTTGCTGAATCATCAATACGGATGAGTGTGTGGGGGGGGGGGGGACTCGGGACAAAAAAGGTTTAGGGGTAACACAAACCAAAAAATGGCGAGAACCACTGCAATAGTGTTTAGTTTTTCCTATGGCTTTTTTTCTTGGGAAACTCATTTCCAGCAACAATAAAATGCCACTCAGTGACTCTCTAGCATAAGTAGTTATTTTCAACCAGGAAAAATATTGCCAAAATATAATAATTGCCAAGTTTGACATCCAAGTATTTGCTATAATTATGACTTTTACAACCGTGATCCTCTGTTAGTAAACGACTTAGACATGTTCCCACTTTCGCAAAAATGTGGGTTATGCATGGCAACGGCTTCCTGGCCAAGTGGTTGGTAATTTGTCATCTTTTCAACAAACACTACATCATTGATGTTGAAACAGACCTTGAAAAAGCAGCAGAAGTCGTGCAGGGAGCTTTTGGGCCCCAAGAAGCCCCACGCCAAAACGGGGCTGATCTGCTCGCACAATGTGTAGAAGCGGGCGATGAAGCCATCTGGAACCTGTTTTTACAAGAATGCCACAGAAATTACAATGGTGCCTATTTTTGAGAAAAAAGTTGAAAGTTTATGATGCATTCATACTTTGTTTAGAAGTGGGGAAAAAAGTAATGAGAATAAAAACCAACATTTTTTAGTCTGGATTTTGTCATTGTAGAAGAAAAAAAAAAACATTGGGAGCTCCAGTCAAAAGGCGATAGATTGTGCAAACCTTCATGTGCTGCCGCTTCTGCTTCAACACCGACCAGCAGCTTGACGCCACTGCCTAAAAACATCACAAAAAAGCTCAGAATTTGCAGCAGTCTTAGGTGGCCTGACATTTTGCTGCCCGTACCGTCTCCTTGAAGGAGCTGTTGAGCCAGCGGTTGTTCACAACGTTCTGGATGGAGACTGGCGGGTTTTCCAGGTCCTCGAAGGAGTCCATTAGGATGAAGTCCAGCACGATGTCGTAAAAGTTGAGGTGCTTAACGCCACGTGTGGCCAACTCCACCGCCGTGTTCTCCCAGTGCTCCGCTTGCTCCAGGAAGCACATCATCTCTTCAAACACTTCCTCGAACCTCTTTGGGCTCTGAAATCAACAGTGGAAAAGTAAAACTGGGCACATTGCCTTTTTTTGTTTTTGAGCTTTGGACCATTTTGTACAAAATGTGGCGATTTGTACAACTTCCACTCTACCTTTTGCGCTTTGACAATGATGGATGACAAAATCTTCTTCCCGGTGTCAGCCAGAAACAACCTCGTGGTTCTTTCACACAGGATAAGCTAAGGGCAAAAAAAACAACAACAAAAAGAACAGAGCTGCAATCTTCACCTTTGTGGCTATGCAACAGAAGCTCAGAAATGCAAACGGCCCCCACCTACCTGACACGCCTGCCGCACGCAATGCAACTTAGCAAGGAAATCCACGTCGCCAAGGCACTCCAACATCTCCGTCCTGACCAATGTGGAGTCAAATCTGGTTTCAACATCTATGCCAACATCTATTACGATGTGAGACGCTTGTTTACCGCAGCACCCTGCAGGAGATCTTCCCCTCCTCCGCCATCTGCAAGGCTTCCTCGTAGAAGGGATGATAAGTCAGCGTGGAGATGCTCCTCAGCTCCTTGTGCTCTGACAACTAGCAGAAAAATGTATGTTAATGCTACTAGTGTAGACTGCCACCAAGGAAGACACATCTTTACAAACGTAGTGGGGAAAATAGAAAGCCAAGGGAGGTAACAGAGCCTGGAATGTTGTCAGTGTGTGTGGGAATTTTGCAATACCGGGACAGGAATGCCATGTAAAATAACCAACACTCACTTCCTCTGCCATTTCGTGTTAAGAGCAGTTGTTGCTGATATGACATGGAGCATCTCATGAAATGTTAAAAAGGTGCGGTGATTTTCTCACCTCAGCTGCAGACACAAAGGAGTCAGTGGAGGCGATGCTGATGCTGTCTCTCAGACAGGCGTCGTCCAGCTCCTCTTGAGACAAAATGTCTGACAGACAAGTCAAATACTCGTCCACAATATAGTCATTTGTTAAGCACGCGGTGGAAAGGAACCTACCTTGGCTGCTGCCATTAGATGAAGGCTCGGAAGTGCCCCCCAACACGCCCTCGAACTCGCCCTGCAAGCGGTAAGCCCTCTGCAACAGCGACTTCAGCCTGTGCATAAACTCTGCACTGATAACATCCTATATCCCCCCCAAAAAAGAAGGAAATAGTTGAAATAGTAGAAATAATTGTAGAACTATTGTAAATGGAATGATGGAAGCCAAACGTAGATGCAGAAGCACGTACTTCCATGTTCTCCTCAGCGACAGCATCCACAGCTCCCATCTTCAAAGAGACCAAGTCGTCATCTGTCTGCTTGCTCCTAAATGTCAACGCCTCTTCCCACCGCCGAAGCGCCTCTTCGAACAAATCCATGCCTGCCAGGACACACTTCATAAGTCACTGGTCACTCTGAAGTAGTATGAGATGGCATCCAAAAGCGTTTACCCATGAGGTAGAGGTTCTCAGGAGTGGCGACCACGCTACAGATCTCAGCATCGCCCAGTCGGTCCCAGCAGCTGGACTCTATGGCGCAGGTACCGCTGCTGGACGTGTCAGCACTAGACGCTAGACTCTCGGAACGCTCCCTGGGGGCTCCCGCCGAAACGAGGACTGGTGCGAGCGAAAAACCCGATTTAGGGTTGAGGGAGACCGTCATGTTATGATGATCGCTCTTGTCTGACATGAGAGCGGAAAGATTATATTTTTATCGACAGCAGAACGCTCTAAAAGTGTTAGAAAGTAGAAATCGACCAAATGCTATTGCATCCATGTGCTGGATGCATAAGGGGCATGGTGGACTAAATGAGATCAGGGATCGGAGTATTTGTTAATTTTGCATGTGTTTGTTTGATTGTTTGTCCCATCCTCCTTGCCTTACATGCTCGGGCATTACAGAACCATAAATGTTCCATTTCCCCCCCTCCACTTTTATGGCAGGTCTACATTGTCTCACCAGCCTCCGGTGCTGCCGAGGAGAAGAACTGGATGCCGGCTTGATCCCATTGCGGCGATGCGGCCTTCTTGCGGCCTCGCCTCCTCTGAAAGTGGCGAGCCAGGAAGAGCAGCGAGACAGTACCAAAAACTGTGGCGGCAAGCAGCTTCTTGGTGCCCGCGCTCACCTGACAAAATACATTCATGCACACAAGCTAATGTTGGGACTCCACACTCACAATGTATTTCTTAATGGCTTGTACAAATAGATGGGAAAATATAATTAAGTCTGTATGGGTGTTCACTCGATGGGTGGTGTGACTTTGGTTAAATTACCCCGCATAAGCCATGAATAGACTGACCAAAGTGTAACTTTAATCCTACCCTGAACTCTAGCAACCTCTGCTAACCAAGATTCAGCGTCTGCTGTGACATCACAGCACCAGGATGCTATGGCGGGGGAAAAAAAAAAATTAACTTCCTGATGTACCTGCAGCTGTGCCACAGAGCCGCACACAACCAGCGGCAGGTGGATGACGCGCAGGGCAGCGGCCTTGGCCGATAGCTGGGAGTAGTGCGTCATTGGGCCGCTCTAGTCATGACACCGCCAGTCCTTGTGCGGCCGCAGGAACTGCACAGCGGGAGATAACAACACATGATTACATAATGGCTATTACTGTACAAACAAGTTGAAATAAGGTTGTTAGTGGACTGTATAACGTCACACACACTGTCAACAAATCTTTTAAAATCAAGGTTGATCTGTAATTTTTTTTTCCCGTATTTGAAATAATCCGTTCCACCTTGGAATATTCATCAATTTTCTGTACTGGTCACCCTCACCAAATTCGCAGGTGAACTGCAGTCTATCCCAGCTGACCTTGACAAAAGGTGGGACCCAGAATTGGTTGTCAGTCATGATTATGAGAATAAAGTCGTAAAATTTGAAGAATGTGCAATCTTAAAATTAAAAAATGCCATGATTTTATGAGGATAAAGTTACAATATTACGAGAAAAACTGCCTATTGGTATAATGAAATTGGTAAAAAGTCGAAATTTGGAGGGGGAAAAACATGTAGGCTAACGAACAAAAACATTTTCATGCTATTTAAGCGGAATACAAATGAACATTAAAAAATACTTTAATCAAGCTTGGAATTTTGAAAAATTCCCTTTATGAACACTTCCAAGACATTTTCAAAATAAGGTGCTACAACTAAGCCTTAAAAAAAATCCCAAAAGCAATATCCACTGAAATACGTTCCATGGAGCGCATCGCAGTGAAAGTATATCCCTGTTTCAAACCATTTGTGTGTGTTTTTGTAAAATTAATGCCCATAACAAAAATAGCCCTGTCGTCACACGTCCGTGCCAAGTTGCTAAGAGTTAGCCAGCTAATCAGTGCACTATTCACCTCATCGCCCCTCAGAACAACACGTTTATCGATGTGCAATATTGACGTGACAGAATGAGCGTTAAAAATGATTACCGAAGCATGTGGAAGTCTTCTTCTTCGCCTTCGGAGCCAGGCAGGCAGACAGGTAAAAAGAGTCCACCCGATCGACCAGCTGACCTCCGTAGGTGAAGCCGCGTGAAAAGGACTCCGGCCCGGCTAACGTCGGTTAAGGCTCGTGCCACTTTCTGTCGTGCTTTACGCTGAATTTAAGCGCCACTACTTGACGAAATTTGGTATTGCAAGTCAAACTGAAGGTCGTTTTCACAAGAACACTTTTGGACTGTTATTTTACTTTTCCTCTGGATCACTGTATGCAATGCATCCTACAAAATTTTAGCGAACAATAACAATTAACACCTACCGACATTTTAGGTCGGAAGCAGGATTTGGTCCCGCGACATTTGAGTCGTGTTAAGGCGGATGAGGCCAACCACTCATCACCATGCTGACCTTTTTTATTTTCTGGATAAATAAAGCTTTTGGTTGATTGCTTGATTGATAATATATGTAACTGCTAACGTTATTCTCGTCTAGAAGGCTTGACGAGTCGACGGATGTTCAACAGCCAACACCATTTTGATGAAAAACCTTTACATAACCTCCCAAAAGACGGAATTTATGACTGTGTACTCCTTGGTAGCGCCAAGCGAAGCTGCGTGTGCGTCAAGAGTATTGTTCTCTTGTATCCAACGCTTATTCTTTGGCTACATCGCTCAGGCCGATTCTTTGCTCAGGGGCCCAAGAAGCAACGCCAAAACGATTACTCTCTTGTGCCCACTCTGTGCTCTTTGATTGGACAAGGCAGTAACGTTAGCAACCACGCAGAACAGCCAAGGAGTGTAAATGTTCAAAACGAAAACGTTAACAGCACAACCAACGCGAATATTCCGACTTTCAAGTGGAATATAACCTACCTTGTCAGCACCGACGACGTTTATCGCAAAGGTAGGCGCCGATTTAAGTCGCCACTGGGCGGGGTTCTTAGTTTAGTAGCCTTAGAGGGGGATTGTCGGCTTTAGCTTCGTTCCGCAACGCTATCGGGCTAACATTAGTGCCATGCTAACAGGTAGCTTCAATGCACCATCTCCCGTCACTGTCGTTAAGTAAACCCACCCACTTCTTTGTTGGTGTTTTTTACACTAGCTCGCGCGTGTGCGTGTCCTTGCTTAGTCACCAAATAAAATACTCAAATGTGTCACGTTGATGCGAAAGCTAAGTGCTAATTCCGCTCCCAATACAAAAAAGCCTCGCCTGTTTTTGACAGCTCCCCTTCGTAGGCCGATTTGAAAGACATTTACATTGGATGTTCTGTTACTTTTATGGACATTAAACACGTGACACTAATTATTTTTTAAGTCAACGTGAAGGAAGCTGACTGGCGGCAGTTGACTTTAATATTTTCACACAATCTGCTCCAAAAACTGGCTCTCGGGGTTCAAATTGATTTACTGTAAAGCAATGTGCACATAAACGCAGTATCAACGAAGCGTCTTGATGAATGAAGGAAATAAGCATGTATTGGTTGTGGATTGTTGTGTGCGGTGTGCACAACGGGTTGCCGTATCAAGCAGAGTGCCCCGCCCTGGTTTAGCATCTTAGCCCCTCTGTGTACAGCATGCTATATAGCCATTTTGCACACTTTTCATAAAATAAACAGGGCTAAAAAATACAGGGGGAGCTCGGTTTACTGATGTTACCCAAGTCAGTTACCCATGGCAGTAAATGTGTACAAAATACTTCAAAGAACAATCACTTGAAACAGCATAAAGTACAGTGTTAACTGAAAAGAGGTTTGGTAGAGAATCCAAAAATTGTACCCAAGTAAAAATGCTGTTACTTTAAAATATTATGAGTGGGAAAAAAATAATAATGACTAAAGTATTCTATTTTTAAAAAAGAGTTTCTGGTTAGTAACTTCAGATTTGGTATTGTTTTAATCAGAAGGCAACGTTGTTAACGTTGTTTTTGCCATGGTGAACATTTAAAGAATCACTTTGCTTTTGTGTAATGGGCTTGCAGTATTACAAGAATGAAATCAGGAAATTTCAAGTAAAAACATGTCATTTTACAAAAATAAAGTCTTACCATTTTGAGAAGAGAGTCGTAGTGTTACAAGAAGAAAGTTGAAAGAAGACGTTTTTTTTCTCATTGTATGATGACTTTATTCTTGTCAGTTTACTGAAATCTATGCAGTACTGAAAGCTTTGGCACACGTATGATTTGGATGCAATCATTGCTGCGCACACAATAGACAGGCAGGTCATTGAGATGCTGCTGTTGATGGCGGCAGCGGCGTGACATGCGGGCTGATAACGACTGATTGCTCATGTGTGTCGTGACTCCCCCCGCACCCCCCAACCTGTCGTCGAGATGCAGATGATATTCAAAGCAATCAACAACGCCGCAGTGATCCATGTCAAGATTGTTTTACTTGAAAGAGGAACTGACTTTTCATTTCCCCCTTTTTTTCCTTCGCAGCTGTCGGGTGAGCAATGCCGCCGGCCCCCAGCTGCGACTGCCCCCACCTGGACTGCGTGGGGGAGATCACCAAGGAGGAACTCATCCACAAATCACATGTGAGTCATTTTGTTCTCGTTACCACCCATTACGACAATGGCTGAACTTTACACAACATTCAATGTTGTGCCATACACGCTAAGAAAGATGTCATATCTCCAGGGCCAGTGTCAAGACTGTAAAGTTGGAGGACCAAATTTGTGGGCTTGTTTGGAGGTAGGACAAAAAAGGGAAAAATACAACAACAAAAGGCGTTTTGTTATCCGGAAAATATTGTATTATTATTGTGTTACTAGAATGGCTGTGCATACGTCGGCTGCGGAGAATCCCATGTGGACCATAGCACCGGACACTCGCAGGTGAGATATCTCCTGGAAAAGTACTTCTTGAAGTTCATACTTAAAATGGGTGTTAATCAGACTTAAAATGGTGTCGGCGCAGGTGGGTTATTTCATGTTGTTAACACAGCCACACTGAATGTGTTATTTGATTCTTCTTCTTCTTCTTCTTCTTATAATTATTGTTTTTTTTTTTTTTTAGAATAAAAAAAAAGAGAGATAAATAATGTTAAAACCATTTCAGTGCCCCTCATAAACCCCAAATAAACTTCAGATGTCTTTCCTAACATTTTTGTCATTATGGCACATGCCACAGTCTCCATGCAGCTTCAATAGCATCAGAGAGACTTTCTTGTTCATAGGTGTCAGGAGAAATTTTGAGGCATTAAAGATGCCATGGAAAAGAGTGGATGCAGTGATCAACAAGTCGAGAAAAAAAGGCGTAGCAGTGACACGACCAAGAACTTGACCTTACTTCAAAATTCATGGGTGGCAAGATGGAAGCTTGATCTTACAAAGAACTTGAAATATCCCAAACACGTGGGGAAAAATATAATGTGGTTTGGGAACTTTTTGGCTTGTTCATCACCAAAATGAACACCAGGTTGCAGGGAATTATATATATTGGACCTGCAGCAAAAATCCAACCTAGGCGTCTCCACATCCAGTGCAATTTCACAAGTGGCTCATCTATTATTAATAGTGATTCCTGAGGGAAGTGGGGGAGAGACGAAGCAGTGCTGCCACTTGCACGTTTACAGTATCACATTGTTAGCCGGGCCTTTTTTTCTCCATTGGATGCATCTTTGCTAAAGTGATATGAATGCTAAGTCATCATTTGCGGTGGCTCGAGAGCGATTCTGCGCTCCTTGACCCAGACGGAAAATACAGTGGATTGTGTGCTTGCGAAGATGATTGGATTGATTTCAAAGCACCGTGATGTCCTTCCATCCACTTACTTGATGGATGAGGTAGCAGTTCGGTCTGCACCTTAGTCATAAGGTCAGGGTTTGATGGAACTGCTTAGCATAAAGTGGTTTTCTTTTGTATAAATAGGAACAGACTTCATGATCCTTAAAATGAACCATAGAAATGCGAGCAGTAAATAGTTCCAACAGATGAATCTCAAATAAACATGTTTGCAATAAAATACACAATTTTGACAAATATATAACAACTCAAATCTTTGCTTTTTAAGAAAGTGAAACGCCAACCTGCCAACTGTAATTCACACCACAAATCAAAGCATACCAATTGACTAAAATGTCCTCAATTCAAAATGACAGCTTAAATCTTTTCTCGTTATGAAAGTTTGACATCAATGGTTTGTCTTCTTTTTTGGAAACATGAACTCCACAGTCGCACTAGTCTGAATGATTATGGCATAAGACCACCAATGGGATTCGTTATTGCTTGTTTCTCTTTGTTAAATCTGTTCCAGGGTCAGGCTGTCACCATAATAAAACCTTTATTAATTGCAGTCTTTAAAAACATTTACATTTTAACATTCTATTAAAGGTCATACAAGTGTGAAAAATTAATAACCCCGAGCCTTTTAAAGATGTTATTTTTCCCCATGGTACTTGTATAAATTATTCTGATTTCATTAGTAAACCTCTACATTTACTCCACTAATAAGCAGTAAATGTCCTTTTCGCAACACATCGCACTGACTGATGCAAAGCCCAGTAAATCTACATATCAAAGCGCATAATAGTGTCTGCGATATTTCCTCTCGTGAATCATTTAGACCGACTCTTTCTTTGTTGTCGGGGTCTCTTTGCCTGCTGCTGTGTGACCATTAATGCGGTCTCCAGCAATAATGCACACGGGCGGTCGACCCCCCCCCCCCACCTCCCATCACAATCTCCAAAAATAAGAATGAATGTAGTTTACAAAAGTCATATTCATGGAGCCAAGAATCATACGCTAACACTGTTAACTCATACTAATTTGCGCATATAAGCAAATTCAATGCAGCCCTTCTTACTTTTTGGCTAGTTGCGGATTCATTTTGTTTTGGAAACTCATCTGTTATTCACAAAAAATTGCATTTTTTAAAGTATATATTTGGCGCATTTTCATGCTAAAGAAAATCATGGAAGGAGTTTAGTCCATAGCCCTGTCTAACAGAAAAGCTGTGCTTTACTGCCATTTTGTGGCGTCTTGAGGCAATTATCTTTTTTTTTTTTTTGGGGGGGGGGGGGTCATTTACTCAGTTGATTGTTTGGGCAACACTGTTATCCTGCTGTACTTTGACAACGGTGGATCTTCACATAGGCTAGCTTCCAAGTCATTAGCAGTTAGTCAATGTAGGTTATTATGTAGCGGTAGGACTGTTACCACTGTCACGTATTTTCAAAACACAGACGGCATCTGAATCATTTTCAGATAACAAAAGATTTACTTTTTTTTACTTTTGTGAGTTAAAGATAAATATGTATTTTTTTTAAATGCTTTTTTTTTTCTTCTAAAAAGCTAACAAACAAACAAACAAAACTTTGGATGTGTTTGATTCAATTGTCTTTGTTGCACCCAGGAGACCGGCCACAACCTGACGGTGAACCTGACCACGCTGCGAGTGTGGTGTTATGCCTGTGGCAAGGAGGTCTTCTTGGACCGTAAACTAGTCCCTCAGCCCCCGCAGTCCAACAGCAAGCCTCTTGCTTCCTCTCAGCAGGTACATGCCACCACCCCATCGTCCTCTTATTGTGAATATGACTATTTTATTGCATAATTGGTTATGTAACATTGTTTTTTCTCTTGTCTTTGAGCTTTGGCATTGTCCTGATAACAGAATATTTGTTGTTTTTGTGTGTGGGTGTACTTCACATAGGGTAACAACAGAGCCTCTCCTCTGAGCCCCGCCTCCCTCCGTGTGACCCCCAATGGCGTTTCCGAAGACCTGGATATGGAGACGGAGGAAGAGGATGACATGCGTGCTCGAGGTTAGCAGCACTGTAGTTCTACTTGTGCACAAGAGACGCGAGTCCCTTGCACGCCACTATTGGTTTGTGTCAGTGCCGCTTAGGCAGCCAATGTGTGCGTCTTTTTGACCTTTCGTCCACATGTAAATGGAATTTTACGTGACAGAAAAATACATTTTTGATCGAGGCCGTTAGTACAAAAGAGACGAGACAAGAACTGTGAGAAAAATGAAAGATACAATTTCATAAAAGGTGCACACAAGGAGATACTTTAGAGACAACCTGATGCTTCTTTTTAAGTTTTTGCAAATTTATCTTTAGACAATCACATATAAACACAAATGCACAGGTCGTCATCATCCCCATTATGCAACTGGGTCCCCCTCCAACCACTGACATAATACAACAAACACAGAATAAACAATTCTCTGTAAATCTTTGTTTTTGGACATTTTAGCGTCACAGATTTTCGCATTGAGTGGGTAGAGCTAAACGGGCTTGAACAGCCACCTTTTTTGTTGAAGTTGACCAAAATGATCCTCACCACCAACATACTAAAGGCCACTTCTGTTTCTGATTGGTTGCTTAACTGCACGCCCTCCTCCCTTCACAGGCTTGACTGGACTGAAGAACATCGGCAACACATGCTACATGAACGCTGCTCTACAGGCCCTGTCCAACTGGTAATATTTTCCTTGACGATGCCCATTTCTTTTTGCCAACCCACACGCTCCCGCACACAAAGATGCTGCAGTGCGCCGCTTATGAAAGAAGCCCTATTGTTGCTCCCAGCGGGCTGATAGTTGTTATTGCCCCTTCCTTTTGTGATTGGCCACAAAACGTTTTGAAGCAAACAGCAAGCCTTCTCTGCAACACTATGCTGAGAGACTCTCTTTCTCACAAGTTGCTGAAGTAAGGTACAGATGTCCTGATTTTTAAAAAAAATAATAACTTCATAGCTATACTTTGTTTTATTTTGAAAAACACCATACATTTTATGCTTGCGACTTTTAAATTGATGGTTTGCTCACCAAACTATGTATACAGTAGAACTACGATTACTGCAAATAGTAAATGTAATTTTTTGGGGGGTATTTTTGAATATATATATATATATATATATATAAAATTTAGGCTGGCACATTTCTGCTTCACACTTTAGCCTATTTGTCACCAATATAGTGAATATATATACTTGGCAATTCAATTTACAGTGTGCGCTCCCAACTTTTCTGCTTGTCCCTAAAATTTAAAAATAAGTTACTCTCGAGCCCTTTTTTTAATGTTGAACTATCAGGTTTTCTCATAGTGCACAACAGTAAGAAGTTGTCCTTTTTGTCACAGCCCGCCCTTGACGCAATTTTTCCTCGAGTGCGGCGGCCTGGTTCGGACAGACAAGAAGCCAGCGCTTTGCAAGAGCTACCAGAAACTCGTGTCTGACCTGTGGCACAAGAACAGGTAGGTGACTTTTTCCTCTTCAAAATCACCCATGGTTCGTTAGCTCTTCCATATTACACTTCTTTCACATTGCAGACCCTCCTACGTGGTCCCGACTAATCTGTTCCAGGGAATCAAAGCCATAAACCCAATGTTCAGAGGATATTCTCAGCAGGTATGTGATGTTTCTTTCTTAGTTGGTCCATAATAGGCATAAAAATGGAATAAGTGTTTCCTTACCTGTGCCTTTATATCAGAGGCAAGATAGTGGCTCTGTTTAAGGGGAATAGCGGAACGCTCGGACCCAAATTCACGGGTTGGCTTCAACTCGCAATGCCATAACATACCTTTTATGCAGGACATTGAGCCAGGGAAAAGCCATGGAAACCCCGTCTTTGTGAAAGGGACTATTGTTTTGTGGCGGTTTGCCAGTAACCAACCTCCTTTACACTTCCCGTCAGTGCTGTCTTTATCCCAGGATGCTGTTCTGTGTGAAAGGTTCCAACATAAAATGGGAACTTGACGGGCACATTTCTTGGTTTCAGAGGTTGTGTATTTTAAAATCTGGGGTCATGAAAAATAATGGCAAGCATATACTTGAGTAATACAACACAATGCAATATGTTATTTTCTGCCAAAACGAAAACGACAAATACATTTTGCAACAACGATTCAGCAGACAGATTAATGTGGCAGACTGGACCTGGCCTTGATTTCAACACCTGTGGTCTAAAATCTAGAAAAGGCTGTAGCCGTGTGAAAGAAGACCGTGGAAAGCCTGGACTGGGTGTGAAGTTTAAGACTTCTCCTGCCCTGTTGCATTGAAATCAATTTATGTGGGACACGAGTTGACATAATCAATTGATCTAATTGCAGGACATTGAGTCACTGTGGGAATGCTTACTTTGCTGCATACTGTGTGATAAATTAGTATTTATTTGAGGTTTGTTATGCCGCGTCGTGTTGTGTTTCAGAATTAGTACTGCTGTGGATCATTCCCAGAGGCTTTGTTGTTTCATTCACACACTTGTGGTTTTTGGTTTGTCCATACATCACCAAAACAAACTTTTATGCTGTTCCATACTGCTTTTGAAACGCAGGACTCGCAGGAGTTTCTGCGCTGCTTGATGGACCAGCTGCACGAAGAGTTGAAGGAGACGCTGCCGGAGCCATACGAGCCATCCGGCAGCGTCACTGTGGATGACAGCCCGCCCAAGGAGGAGAACCATAACCAGTCAGACAACGACTTTCAGTCATGCGAGTCGTGCGGGTGCAGCGATCGGGCCGATAGCGAAGTACTCCACGCAGACGTGCCCACTGTCGTCGTTGACAACGAGGCTGAGATGCTGATTCCCGAGCAGGACGACGTCCAGGCCAACAGAGAGTGGCAAAAGGAGAAGAACATGATCAACGACATCTACCGCGCCGGGGAGAACACAGCAGCGGACATGGACAAAGATGTTGACACCACCACAGAGACCACGCCCATTATCAGCAGTCAGGGACACATTAAGACACAAAGCAGGACATCGGGTAAGAAGAAAATATTCTATAGATACGCATGTCCTTGGAAACTTTCATGGAATTTTGCCATTCAACTCCTTCATAGAGAACTGAAAGTGGTGCAAAAAGCACTGAAACACTTCGAAGGTAGACACGTGCATTCAAAGGTTTAGAGAAGATTAAGTTCACCCGTAAAATGTCATACATTTTAGATTCATCTGTGAAATTTCACCTGAAAGCCTGACATCACTAACTTTTTGTGGCTCACTGCGATTAGCTGTCATCAATGTTTGATTTGGTTGCCTCCTCCAGAGTCCTTTCCAGATATGCAACTGTCCAACATCACAAGACCACAAAGTCCGGTCCCTCTGCAGGCCCACAAAATGTCCAGCAGCCCGCCCAAAGCTTCCTCTGTGTGGCCCAGCCTCAACACTGCACACAAGAAAGGTACGTGATACGTTTCCTGATCAAAAATAGAACTTTGGAGGGTGGGGGGCGGCATCTGGTGGAAAGGAATACCCCTAAAAAAAACAACAGTTCCACGTGGAAGGCAATTTTTTTTTTTAACCAGTTGCCCTTGCCGTGGACATCACATCTCATTCTCCGTTGTCATTAGTTGTTTTTCCATTGTGTTTTATTTTTTCATTGTTAATTAAAACACCTCTCTGGACATTATTGGACAGAGCTTATTCTTACCGAGTATGTCCTATTGCTGCCTCTTCACAGCGATGAGCACGTTCTCCCCACCCAAGAGCAAGTGTCAGAGGAGGTACCATAGCGTCATCTCGGACGTGTTCGACGGGACTATTGTGAGCTCTGTGCAGTGCCTCACCTGTGATCGGGTTAGTGTTGGGTGGGTGGAGGTTGGACTGGGGTGGGGCGGGGATTCACCGGCGTTTTCACCCAAACACGCATAAAGATGCTCAACAACAAATCACGAACCATGTGTGTTTTCAGGTGTCGGTCACGCTGGAGAACTTCCAGGACATCTCCTTACCCATCCCGGGGAAGGAGGACCTGGCCAAACTGCACTCCGCTACCCACCAGACATCCCTGGTGAAAGCCGGCTCCTGCGGGGAAGTCTACGCGCCACAGGGGTGGATTGCATTTGTCATGGAATACATCAAGAGGTACAGTACATACACATCTGAGGTGTTTATAATCGAGCAGGTGACATCCATCTTGTGTCGGCTTCTGTTTTCAGCTGGTTCTGGGGTCCGGTGGTCACGCTACAAGATTGTCTCGCGGCTTTCTTTGCCAGGGACGAGCTGAAAGGTGAGCAAGCGGATGATTATTATAGGGATTGTCATAAGAATTCTAATCCATTGTGTCAAATGCTTAACAGAGGTGCTATTGAATGAATCTCACCAAGTTTGCAGGCTAAAGAGAACCAAGAGCTGTAATGAGTTAGGCTATATCCATTCAGTTGTCTACAATGGCATCAAACTCGGATCATGTATATACATTCATATAAAAATATTTTTGAAAGAAGCCAAAGTCTTGTGCAAATTTATGGACATGTCATTTAATGGAAGTCTTGTATGATTCATTGGAAGTATTGAACCATTAGCTGAAATTTTGTGTGCTTTAGTGTAAGTCATTCACATTCATCAAAGTCGTGTATGGTTTCATGGAAGTCTTGCAAGATTTTGTGTAGTTCTAGTGTGATTCGCCGGCAATCTAGTGTGACTTGGCATCAAACTTTCAGAGATGGACTTGATATAGAATTTTAAACTTTTTTTAAAAATTCCAATTTGTGGTGTCATTTTCTAGGCGACAACATGTACAGCTGTGAAAAATGCAAGAAGTAAGTATCTTTAAAATATATATATATATTTGAACATTCAAAGCATTTTAAATGATGTCATCATCTTATTCCCCCCCATAGGTTACGAAATGGAGTCAAGTTTTGCAAAATGCAAAGTTTGCCAGAGGTATAAACTTGACATCACAGAACGTAAGCCTTGGCCTCAGTCTCCTGATTTAAATGAATATCGTTTCTTTTAGATTCTGTGTATCCACCTGAAACGCTTCAGGCATGAGCTGATGTTCTCCACCAAGATTGGCACCCATGTCTCCTTCCCTTTAGAGGGCCTGGACCTGCAGCCCTTCTTAGCCAAGGACAGCTCAACACAGACTACCAACTACGACCTGCTGTCAGTCATTTGCCACCATGGCACTGCCAGCAGTGAGTGGGCACTGATAGAAATGCCACACTTTCTTGTTATGGTCTGCAAATTCTCGTTTTACAACTCACTCCCTCTTCCCTTGCTTTCACAGGTGGCCACTACATTGCATACTGTCGGAACGACCTAAACAATCTTTGGTATGAGTTTGATGACCAAAGCGTGACCGAGGTGTCAGAGTCTTGCGTCCAGAATGCTGAAGCTTATGTGCTCTTCTACAAGTAAGCAGCCATGCTACTACTTGTACGCAAAGAAGTCACTACAATGGCAGCTAGTAGTGCAACCACGATCCATCCCCAAAATATCAATACAATAGTGTGCGGAAAGTGCAGTCGCCATATTGTGTCTATTCCCACCCTGCAGGAAGAGCAACGAGGACGCAGTGAAGGAGCGCAATCGGGTGTCGGGCTTGCTCAACATGATGGAGCCCAGCCTATTACAGTTCTACATTTCCCGCCAATGGCTCAACAAGTTCAAGACCTTTGCGGAGCCGGGGCCCATCTCCAACGAAGATTTCCTGTGCCCGCACGGAGGTACTATGACACATAGATGGATTTACTTTTGTGTACGATATCTGTGTCCGCTGGTTTGAATGTCCCTTTCCTGTCATGTCAGGTGTTCCACCCAACAAAGCAAACTACATTGAGGAGCTGGCCGTAGTGGTACCACAGAACGTGTGGGACCACTTGTACAGCAGGTATGTTGAGTCACCCCGGCTGCTCTTGTAATCAGGCTTGTTCCCCGGGTGACTTAACGGGTCTGGTTTTCTGCTAAGGTACGGGGGAGGACCTGCCGTCAATCACCTGTATGTCTGCAACACATGCCAGATTGAGGTTGAGAAACTAGAGAAGCGACGCAAATCAGAGCTGGACATGTTTGTCCGGGTAAGTTGACCTCTGATCCACCGAATTGTCAATGAATGAAGTATATATGATATTATTGGTGCCATTAATATTGCATTGACGTTACTGTGCGATTTGGGGCTTTTTGTGCTCATCGCCCTAGAGGGAGATGAGAGGTGTTAAGCTGAGGAAAGCCTCATTATTAATGTATTGGGACGGATGCAGCTGCCTTAGCATTTGTGCAATCTACCCACGTCCATCTCACCAGCATTTTACTGCCTTCAGAGATTGTGTCAAAGCCATAACAGAAGCAGGACATCACCTCTTTAAGGGTGTTTTTCTGCAGTGCCAGGAAGAGGTGTGAACAATGTTAACATGTGACACTCATCAAATGTGTGCAAAGCAGTAGTCGTTGACATCACTCGTGTTGTTGTGTGAAGGTGCACCGTCAATGCAATCTCCCACCTTTATTTTTTAATGACGAAAATAGCACAATATTATAATGTACTTCATGAAAAAATACAGTAATATCGTAATAAATTGAATGGTAATAATTAAACAATTTGTGCATCATGATGACTTTATTTCAGTTTATTTTGCTGTGTGCGACCTGTCCACCAGGTGGCAGTATTATACAGTCATGCGGACAAATGAAGTCATGACTTTGACCCAAGTACTGTAGATTACCCTGTAATATGCAATGATTTTTCTCGGAATATAGGCCTGTAATTTTGCATATTGTCTGTTTAAATGTGTGGCTGCACAACTTCACTGGTTAAAAGGCACAATCTTGTCATTTGTCCTGAACATGTTCAGTACCTCTGTGAGAAAGAGGCTAACAAATGTGCTATATGTGCTGTATAAAAGCCACAGGTGGATAAATTCTGTATCTACTGATCAGCAAGATATCCTTACAAAATTACTGTGTGTGTGGATCCGCGTGTGCGTACCAAGAAGAGGAAGTGTCTTGTTTCCCAAAAAGACAACACAGCCACAGACAGAATGTTGTGCAATTACAGTGAAGGACCAGAGAGAATTGATTTAGTTTTCCATCTCCTCACTCAGTCCTTTCATCCTCACTTCATTTATTCTCCGCGAACACCTCCCCCGCCGCCTCCTCTCCTTCCCTCTCGCCACTCTCCTCCAGCGACACTCACTCCTCCTACCCTCTTATTTGCGCTCTCTGCAGCTGAACAAGGCCTTTCAGGATGAGGAGTCTCCGGTGGTCATATACTGCATCAGCATGCAGTGGTTTCGTGAGTGGGAGGGTTTTGTCAAAGGGAAAGACAATGGTAAGCGGAAGTACACACACTCATATGTCTAATTAGAATGTGAAATAAATGTGTCATCATCACCTCACAAAGATTCGAAGTTGCCCCTCCTTGTCCCAGTTAGTCGCTGGATGTGTCAGCCGAAAAAAGAAATGCCTTCCTCAAATATACGCTGCCCTTTTCACATCAAGACCACTCAAACATGACAAAAAAGGTCAAGGAATAGATGTAATAGCGGCAAAAAAAAGGGATAGTGTTACTTCGTGCGAGGGAATATGGAAAAAAATCTTCTATCACGATAATGGCAATTTTATATCACGACATCAATGGTGCTGCTATATAAAATTATCAAATGTAAACAGAAGCAAGGTAACCTATATATTTTTCCATAAGTGTAGATATCAATCTAGGTAAGAGGCCTAAAAAAACAATGGTGTTGAGAGAAATTGATTTTTAAAAAATAACAAAACGATTAGCTTAACTATCATGTCATTTTCCCGCGACCCTCGTGAGGATAAAGCGGTTCGGAGAATGAATGAATGTCATTTTGAAAACATTTTTCATTCAAAATCAAAACTCAGTACTGTATTGAGAAACATTTATAATATATGCATTCAATACACTCACTGTATATGCATACGTTTTCTGAATAGCTTATCCTCATTATTTATATACGTTTAATCTTCTAGGCCACGCCTCCAGGTTAATTTGTAGGATGCCGTAGTATTTCCTGTTTGGCTGTGTGTGTGTAGCATTATTTTGTATGAGTCATCAAAAATTACATTTCACATTTTTAGAGCTTTCATGTTCCGACCCCTTTTGTGTTGCCACGCCTATTTATAACTACTGGCACGCCTTATCACCGCTCTTCCGAATAATGCTGCTTTTAATCTATGGCATGTTTTGCTATGACGACTTAGCTTCCGATGCATGACAACATTTGGCACCCTAAATAATTATATTAATAAGCACAATGTCCAAGAAAGGTGAGTGATTGTGTGTGAGTGAACTAATGTGATATTTCTCTTTCAAGATCCACCAGGCCCCATTGATAATTCCAAGATAGCAGTGAGCAAGATTGGCCATTTAACACTCAAACAAGGTACAAAAAGTCATTTGAAATGTTTTTATAATGCATCATCTCTTCACTTCTGAAAATATAGTGGAACATTTAAAGTAGAAGCCGGTTGACCCAAAAATAATGTTACTACCGTTTTTTTTAGCTCTCTATTAAAGGGGAAGTCAAGTAAAAAAATTTAATGATAACAAATGTAATTTATAATAATATATTCTATGTGGCACAGATGCTCAGGTAATGACCAATCACGGCTTAGCTTGCGAATGTCACATGACCAAACTCAGAAAACGGGTGGAACGTGATTGGTCACTTCCTGTGCCCTGGGCAAGTGCAACGTCATTTTCAGTCAACAGAAAGTGGCAAAATGCACGCCCACTGAGATGGATAATAACGGGTGCATTTTGCTTCTTTATTCATATTCCACAAACGCAATGATAATCAAAATGTTGTGTTTAGACTGAATCTTGTAGACTTTTGAGGTGAGAAGTGATAAACGGTGTCTCTCCGTCTTTGCAGGCGCCGACTCGGGCCAAATCTCCGAGGAGACATGGAACTTCCTGCATGCCATCTACGGTGGCGGCCCACTGGTGACTGTGCGGCCCAGCGTGGTCGCCGGCCACCAGGAAGCGGACGCCTCCCACCAGTCAGAGGAAAAGATCGAGGTGGAGACGCGCTCGCTTTAAAAACAAAAGCAAACAAAGAACAAGGCAACGAGTTAAAAAAAAAAAAAGCCTTTTTAATTTTTTGCACCTTGATTTGAAACGCATTCACGCAAAAAAAAAAAAAAAAAAGGACGCCAGCATTAACTGCTTACGCGACAACTCGCTCCAAAAAGGGAATCAAAACTTTGTCGTGTTGTACAAATGTGTATATGTTTCCATTAGCACTGAAGTTGTCTCGTGTCACTATTTTAAATGTGTGCAGCTAGATAACAACAACAAAAAAAAACACGGAATGCCATTTTATTTTGAACAAATGAGCACATGTACCGCGTGTTTGTCATGACACTTGTTGTACTATAGCACTTCCACCGACGAACGTCTTAAGGTTATGAAGGGACTAATTAACGAGTCTGAGGAATTTTTGTGTACTGTCGTGTAGAACAGCGCTTCTCAGCTGGTCTGGTAACCCCTTTTCTCGCAACAAATCCTTAAAATTATCTAACTTTGACAGCACTTGTTGCCTCACTTTGCTCCACTCACATTAGATGAAGTAGACAAAAGAGCACCGCCCATCTGTTTTGGATGCCGTTCAATTCCAGGTATGGGTGTCCTTGCGACTTTTTCCTCGAATCCAAATATGATCAACATGTCCACTCAGTTACATGTTGCAATGTGAAACTGGCTTTGAGGCTGAATTTGCAAATCATTCACACCCTTTTTCATGGCGTCTGTTAAATATACTTGTTTCCTGGTGGAACTAATTTGGGTGAATTCCCTAGTAGGAGTTAGAGTACTTCAGCGCCATGGTATCTGCCCATAATGGCTGTTTCAAACCAAAATGGATGACTTCCTGTTCAATTCAGGAGACATTTTCATGCATCCTGATATGGTTGACATGTTACCCATTTTTTTGTTGCTAGAGAAAACTCACTTGGGGTGCTGAATTTAAAATAAGATCCCCTTTCTATGGTGATCAAAATGATCGGCAAACTCTGCTGCCTTGTTCTGCCCACATCAGATAGCAAAAAAAACCCCACCAAGTTTACGATTTGGTGTTGCCCGTCTATTTAGGGTACCTCCTTCAGATTTGGGCAAATTGCTTAGTAAAGGTTCTTTCAAGTTGCGCAAAAGTCCTTGAATCTACCCAAAATGGCTGCTTCAAACCATAATTGCCAACTCCTTGTTCAGTCCCAGATCATTGAGACTTATTCATGCGTCCTGTCATGATAGACATCCACCAGATTTCATGTTACAAAGTAAAACTTGCTTTTGGGGCTGAATTTTCCTTGCTCAAAACGGATGCCGGAGCTCAGCCCACCAAAACTCTGTTGCTCACCAAAACAGCATGACCCATTGACGCACATCCAGCGTGGCATATAATAAACCAGTTTCCCCGTCTTTTTGACGTTTGGTTCCACCGGTTGAGAATCGCTGCTGTTTCAACACGCAAACGGGCATGCAGATGTTTGAATGTAACAATGGTGTATGTTGGATTAAGATTCAGCACTTATTTATCACAGACAGGGAGTTTAAAAAAAGGATGTTAATTTTTTTTTGTATAAATATAAAAGAGTACCTGAAATAGGACTGCATGCTTTCAACATTGCAAATCTCACAACTCCTAACTGTGCACGACCTAGCCTAGCTAGACACAACACACCAGTATAGTAAATAGTAATCGGCAACTTTGTCGGTCTTGATTGAGGGCGTTATTTTGCATTTTGGATGCCGTATGTGTTAGCCTATGGACCATTAGTCAGTGAGAGCTATTCAATTTTTTTTTTAAATTTTGCTGCCTCGCACAATAAAAGAAAAACAAACTGGATGAAAACCCGATGAATGTGTGCTCATCTTGATTGACCCACAACATTAAAGAATCTTCAAGCATTCCTCTTGATCACAAGTGACAAGTGGCTAGACCATGCGAGACGCTAACATAGCATTTTTACTCACTGTGCTCCTTGTCAAACAGCGCAAACATTCAAAAGCACACCACCAGTTGCTAAAGATCCAAATCAAAGTGCTTTCTTCGCAAAAAGGTGGCCAAAACCGTCTCTGGCTGAGAATCTGATCAAGGGAACAGAAACGGGAATTAGAAATGTAGCAAAATAAGAGCTGGAGCGACAAAAATAAATTGACTAAAATGCCAGTTTCAGAGGTTCAAATTCACGCATACTGATCAACAACTGGACATAGAACCCTACCAAAATAAAAGTGCTAAAAACGGGCTCAAACTTATCACATCGGTCACAGCAGATCCAAATCAAAATCTTTTTTTGTTTATGAAAAGTTGGCTGTCTCAGGCTGCGAGTCTGATCACAGGAATGGATACTGAAAGAATAAAACAATATAAAAAGTAACACCATTAACATGGACTAAAAAAAAAAAAAACAATCTAAATGAACATGCTTTCGATACAAAACAGTCAGAACAGTCTCCTGGCTGACAGTCCTGTCATAGGACCAGAAACAGCAAGTCGAAACCTGCCAAAATAAAAGCTACAACAGCACAAACTGACAGACTGCACCAAACCAGTCACGGAGGATCAAATCCAAATTGTTGACAAAACCTTGGTCAGAACAGACTGGTTGAGAATCCTATGAAGCGAAGCACAATGGGAAGTAGAAATCTAAAATTAAAGCAAGGCCTCCAATGCACAATGATAGAAGATCCAAATCAAAGTCCTTCGTTCACAAAAAGTTGCTCAAAACTAGCTTTGCTGAGATTACTACTAAGGAAAGCAAACAAGTCAAAATGTTTTCTTCCAAATTAATCCACTAGTCAATACAAAGTCAACATAACGCTCCTGGTCCACATTTGTTGTGGATTCGAAGGCATTTCCAGGCCATGAGAAGGCAAACATGTCGCCGATTGCGGCACACGAATGTCGCCCTCGCCTCAATGTGCTCGCCTACCCGAGCCGGAGAGCTCGGCTACACTGTGAAAACATGGCTGCGAGCGAGCGTGCAGCGACCGTACGGAAGTGAGGTACGTGCTACATTGTTGTTGGGGCTCCGCAAAACGCTTAGTCGGGCAATGGAGCGTACCGATTGTCTGGCGCCGGAGGGGAAACAACATAATTGTCGGGACTGTTTGTGGTGGACCGGCGCTGTTTGCGAATTAAACGGCCAAGTTTGAGAGCGGAACAATCGGCTAAGCTAGGCTGGCTAACGCTTAGCGACAGGCAGGCTGCCACGATTCTCCCTACCGGTTTTATCCACTCGACTAGCCTAGCGGGGACGCCTCTCGAGCCGAATGGATAAACGGAGAACCCCCACCACACCAGAGTCTCCCTAGGTAGCTTGTCTACTAATTTCGGCCGTTTACGACTCGCTAGCGTCTCGTGTTTAGCCGTGGGTCGATCGGGGAGTTTGCCCGATTAAAGGGCTAACCAAGCGGCGTTTTGCAGTCAAGTTACCGCTAACGTTCAGCTCGCCCATCGCCCCCGGTTGGGCTGATGATATAAAACCACACCTGTGTGTATTGTATGTGCATATTTTGATTATCTCAAGGGACTATACTCCCGTCTTGAACTGTTGTTGTTAGGTCGCGTAGAAACCGGTCCCACGCGGCACACGCTAAGCAAGGATGCGGGGATCTGAGCCCCTCTACCCGGGATGCACGCCACGCTACCCCGTGGATGTCACGTTTCCTGAAGGCCTCAGTGGAAGTGTTCCCCACTCCTACGTGGAAACTAAAGTGGACAACAAAAGTAACAAGTACACTGGGCTTTAAAATCAGGATAAAAATCCCCTGAAATTGCTAGCTAGATGTCTCAGCCAGCGCTCTTGGCTTGTTTGGCAGGTGTATACGTACACGCATAATTGTGCACATTGTCGACTCCAAAACTGCCCCAAAATAACAGGTTTTATCATTTTGGACGAGATTGTGAATGCCAACATGTTAGTGCCACTTCCAAGCCAAATGGGCATATTTTTAGAGAAGATCTCATGTAAGAATGGAACCTTTTATCGCCTAAATTGCACCTAATTCCTAACATAATCACTGACTTTTTTCTTCTCTCCTCGCTTTGCTCTTTTATGAGGCAACAATACATTCTAACACTCTATTTAGGCTTTGTCAACGTTTAAAATCAGCAAGACCCATGTCACCGAAAAAGGAAGAAAACAGTTTAAATTTTGTCTATGTTAAGAATTATGGACGTTATGACATTTTTAAAACTTCGAAAAGTGGCCAAAAAATTACCTTGTGTTTCCATTTAAAAACAATGGAATGGCCTGTTGCAGAGTGTCTGTGCGAAGCGTTGTGCTGCTGTGTAGGGACAAGTAATGTCGAGGTCAGACTACACAAACAGCCCGATATTGAGCCGACCGATGTGTTGCAGGCAATCATAGTGTCTCATGGCCGATTTTGAGTTGTTTTGACACGTCATAGCCCCTGTAGTGTGACAAACTCAACGATTGGTCCTGAGGCGTCTGGGACGCTTCAACACCATGATGACAAAAGTCTGGCATAGCTGCATCTGATGCCGAATAGGAGATTGTGAGTCGCTTGTGATAAGGTGTTAAACCTCCTTTTCTCGACACGGCTGCTTGCACACACAGTTTTGAAATAGAATTAATCAAATTATTCAATAAATCGTCTGAGCCCTAATTGAGAAGATGTTGCGGCACTGGTAGGCCTTTTCTTGGTTCTGTGTTAAAATGGCATTGGCGAGTGAATGCCAGGTGGAGGTATGCGGTAATGTTGCTTGATCTCTGTGTGAAAGAGGCTGATGATAAAAAAAACTAAGCAGGACATTATGAGTTAAGGAATCCTTTTTTACACTCTTAATATCCTTGAATGTCCTGTAAAGGTTTTATGAAGCTGCCAATTTGACCCATGAAACAGGTTATTGCCATGTTTTCCCTCCGTGAGGACTTGATTCTCAGGCCGTTGCTCTTTATTTCCATGCCAGCCAGTGTTTATGCATTGTCTTGTGTAGTCCGATGCTAGTTCGCTATCAAGTCATCTAATTTTTTTACAGTGCAGCCCTGGAAATTTTAAAATAAAATATTGGTGTCGCTACTGTATCTCGTACCACATTGCACTCCTTGCAAGTCTTCAACATCATGTATTCCATCGTGCACCTGAAGGCAGCGTTTGTTAGCGTTTTAGCTAATCACCCCTGCTGCTCCAAGCCTACGAGCTAAGCTTTAACGATATGTTAGCAGTTGTTCAACCGAGCTGATGGGTGTTTTTTTTTTTCTCCCTCCAGAGAGGAGCTAACGAGCACGCCTCATTAATTTGTTGTGTTGCGTTGATTGTTGAGCGCTCACTGCAGTCCTTTCACCTTCCTCGCTTCTTCCTGTTTTATGCATGGATGCGTCAAGTTAGCCGTCTCAGCAGCCGGCATCAGCCGAGTGCGAGTAATGTGCGTATGTTAAATCTTTGACTCTGCAGGTTGTGTTTTCACCGACGCTAGCGTTCTGAAGTGTCAGGTTAAAAAAAAAAAAAGTCATATCACCCAAATAAAAGCTGGATAGGCACAAACAAATGTACTGAAATGCACGAAACCAGTTGCCGAAGAGCCACACTGAAAACTGGCTCCGCTGAAAGTCCTTTCAAGTGAACAAAAATCAGAAAAAACAGGAGCACCACAAACTGACCGACAAACTCAATTCCGCTGAAGTTGTGACGTGTTAAACATCAATAAAAACAGCATACGGTGATTTGAAAATCATGTTCAACCTATATTTAATTGGATACACGACAAAGATGAGCTGTTCAAACTGACCAACTTTGTTTTTTAGCAAATAATCATGAACTTAGAATTTTATGGCTGCAACGTGTTCCAAAAAAAGTTGGGACACTGTCGCCTTTGTTTTACATCAACATTTCTTTTTAACAACATTCACTAAATGTCTGGGAAGTCAGGGCGCTGAGGATCTTTTTGTTTTGTCTTTTGACTCCGCGTGACAGTTGGTTTTTGTTTGACTGTTTTTCTGCTTTTTACTGTCCTTGTTATTAATTTATTGTTTTATTGCTTGTTGTTATGTGACTTACTTTCGCTCCGTGTGCAGCACTTTGTATCAAGCGGTGGTTGTTTTAAAGTGTTCTATGAATAGCGTTGAGTTGAGTAATTGTGTTGAAGCTTTGTAGGCGAGATCCTTCCCATTGTTGCTTGATGTACAGTTTCAGCTGTTCAATTCTCCCCGAGTCTCCGTTAAGTCAAGTCAAAAGTTAAGTTCATGATTATTTGCTAAAAACAATCACGTTTATCAGTTTCAACATTAAATATGAATTGCAAATCATTGTGTTCTGGTTTTATTTATGTTTAACATATTGTTACAACTTCAGTGGAATTAGGTTGACAAAATGCTTGCGACAACGCTTGCAGAAAGATCCAAATCAAAATGTATACCGGTGTGTGTGTATATATATATTCCCCCCCACACACAAATGTAGTCCACATCGGTTTTAATAGTCTTATTAGGGGAACAAAAACGAGAAGTAAAAACTGACCAAAACAAGTCTTCTCTGCTTGAATGTGTCCACCTCCTTCACGGTCATTTCATTATGTTTTGACTCGTCGCCTCACATTTAAAGGCTTCTCTCTGTCTCCGCAGTGCTAATTGATGCACTCCTTTTAAGCTCCTTTTATGACCGCAAAGGACACCACTGTAATGAATGAATGTGACTTTAGAACAACCTGCACTTTTTTTTTTTATTGCCCTCCTTAGATTCATTAGCAGGATTAGCCTGGCACCCCCTTCTCAGTATTCTCACGCCATGTTTTGCTGAAGGCGGTCAACTTGTGCACTACATCCAGACGTTATCTAAATATTTGATTGTGGGAAGCCTGAACCCGTTAACGTCTCGCTTGGTCTGATTCGGGTTGATAGATGCGCCGCCTTCCTGGTAAGTAGGCGTAAGTTACGGTGTGTCGTTTTTTTCAGATCGTACTTGTTGAATTTCTCATTCACGCAGCCGTTGTGAATTGATCCATTGTGCGATAACAACATGCCAATTACACACTGCAGTCATTGGCATGTCACAGGCGTAACAGAGCCAAATGTGTGGATTAGTACTTTTCAGGTAGCGCTTGCGCCTTGCGGCATTGATTGTAGCCACCTTTCTTCAAAACGTCATCGCACATTGAATTCCGCATTCTACCTCTGTTACTTCTCTGGTGCCAGATCAAAAGCTGGCAATTTCGTGCGCCAACCTCAACCCCTCCTACCTGCATCGGTTCCTTACACAAAGGACACCGTGCCAGGAAAATATCGCCTTCCATGGCCAATCAAAGAAGCTGCAGGTATGCAGGCTCTTTTGTTATTTCCCCGACACCCCAATTTAGTGGGAAAACTGCATGAAAGGTAAATTGACCTGTAAATGTTACAAAGTGCATGCGAGCTTCATCCTGAAATTCTACTCAACAACTGAAAGAATATCCCTAACGTTTAGTGGATGTTTCTGTGTGAACGGCACTGGCAGATAGATTGGCATTCTACTTCTGTGTATACTTTTAGAGGACATTCACTGCAGTGTTTTGTGTCTTCGCAGGTGCCCATGTTCCGCCAAAGTGGAGAGCGCACCAGGATGCGGAGATTGTAGGCACCCGCCGTAGTATGGCCGCGTCCCGTTCCTCGCGTGTCACAAGGTCATCGGTGGGGCTCAATGGATTGGACGAGAACTTTTGTGGCCGCACCCTCAGGAACCGCAGCATTGCCCAGCCGGAGGAGACACCTGTGTCTCCACTGCCTCGGGCCCGCTCTCCCAAGAAGAGGCAGGAATCCCGGCAGGACTCGAGGCTGTCGAAACAGGACGTCAAACAGGGGTCCAAGAAGGAGGACAAGCCGGAGTCCAAACCGGAGTCCAAACCGGACCCCAGACCGGACCCAAAGAAGGAAAAGACCAAGCAGGAGGCTAACGAGGACACTGACAACCAGTCGGCCCGGGACTCGGAGCGGCAGATCTCGTTGCAGGGACGGTTAAATGACTCAAATGACTGTAATAGTTCTCCGGCAGCCGAGCAGGACCTGTTGGCCGGCCCACACAAACGGAGCGGCTCGTGCCTGGAAAAAGACATTAGCCCTGAGAAGTCTGAACGTTGCGATAAAGGGAACGGGGTGCCGGATGCTCCTCCTTTCATCAAAAGGGCCAAGCGATGTTCCCGAGCCGGGGAATCTCAGGAATGCGAGGAGGACACGGTGAGCCCGGAGAGTCCCGTCTCTGTTCCTGAACCTTGCGAAGGCAACACTTGTGTAGACATTCCCACTTGGAACTCGAACTTGGCTCCCGACTCACCTCTCCTTGAGGAAGAGGAAGGAGAGCTGGCCAAAGATGGCCGGGTGGAGTGTGAAGGGGCGCCGCAGCCCCTCGCCACTCTGAAAGCCTCAAACGGCCTCCGGGACGACGCAGCGGAGAACCATGGCGACGTGGCCGAAGAACCTTCGAGTCCTGCCTCTGCCACCAGCTGCCCGCCACTGCTCAACGGTGGCCAGGCGGGGGCGCCCCCCTCGCCCCACCCCACGGTGCCTTGTACGAACTCTAGCCCGGCGCACACAGAGGTCGCCGCCTCAAGGCAGCTGCCCACGTCGTTCTCTCCAGCCCCTCTGGAGGACCCACTTCCTGATCTGGTAGTGGCCAGGGAGCAGGAAGTAGAGGACGTGGAGGTTGACGTGGTGGGCGACTCCCTTTGTCTGGCTGGCGAGGAGCAGGTGTTGGACAGCGAGTGCGATGACAACGGTCATCCACTCACGCCGGTGCCGGACGCCGGCTCCTCGCCTTCACTCGCCGCCGACAACAGCAACTCAGGAGAAACAACACCCCCGCTGGCGACGACCCCGCCGCCCACCGAGACCGGTTGCACGCCCCCGTCTTTTGCCGAGCTCTATGAACACAGGTACACCTTGCGGACTTCGCCCCGCAAAGTGTCCTCCACCAAGGCCTGCTCTCCACCCCGAGACAACGGCCCCCTAAAGGAGGACGGGGAGGCGGTTGAAGGGATGGATACGGACTTTCCTGCTCCTTCAGACTCTTTGTGTTCCCCCGATGACAACGAGATCACCTGTGCAGAGCCCGGAGATGAGACGGGCCGCAACGACGGCGGTCCCGTGGCGGCCCGGGATGCCGACGTCGGCAAGGAAGCGATGTGCAGTCACACCACGGAAGAGGAGGAAGAGGAAGAGGAGGAGCCCGACGTGTATTACTTTGAATCCGACCACCTGGCTCTGAAACATAACAAAGAGTACGTGCTCGAAGCTCTGTCGGGAATTTTATTTCCACCGCCATCCTTGCGTCGCCGCCTCACTCGTGTAGTTCGGCTTAATCTTTTCACTGTTGCCTTTATGCTTCTCTCTGCCGTCAAGTAATCCCACTGCACTCTCGATTTTAATGGGATTTGTAGCTGTTAAAAATTGAAATAATGCGGCGTAATACCGTGGAACCTCTCAAACGAAACGCAGTCCGCTTTGTGGCAATTTTCTATCTCCCATGTGTAAATCAGTTTCAGACTCAAACATTTATTAGACAACCCTCAGTCGTAAAATTCATCAAAAATACAGCAGTACCTTGACATACGCCTTTAATTTGTTCTGTTCTTGAGCTGGTAACTCAGTTTATCAAAGATACGAGATTTGGGTCGGATGTTGTGGCAATTGGCCGTCACCTTGTAGCGGCGGTGCTCGGTAGCAACACAAAGCAAAGAAGCGACCGAGCAATGGTCCGTAACTTGGAAATTGGTGCGCTTGTAAGTTAAGCTACCGCTGTATTGCCTTTTGAAGAATACTGACAGTAGCAGAGAGGGAATGCCTTTGCATGCAGGGTTGCTGCGGACTCTTAAAAGTCTTGAAAGGCATTGAATCGGTCATTTCATCCTTTCTCGGAACCACTTAAAACACTCAAAAACTAAGGCTTTAATTGGCAATCAAATGTCTTAAATCAACCTTTCATAAGCGTTAAAAATGTTCACACATGGCAAGTAGGTTTCCATGAGTGTAAATGGGCCCAAATCTCAAAATAAAATAACATTCTTTAATAATTTACTGGATGACTCTGATGATCACGTCACGCGACCGCGATAGCGCAACCAACAAAACTGTGATGTGGAGCAGAGGCACGTCATTTCTGTACTGTAGCAACTCAGGACAACACGGGACGTTGGGAACATTGTGAAGGTGGTCTTAAATTTAACTCCAAATGGAGTTAAAAAGTGTCGGTCTTGAAATGAACTTGTCTTAAGCTGTAGGAACCCCGGCATAGCAGTACTGTCACTTGAGTGGTGTTTTTGTTTTAGTGTTAGAGTTAATATCATGACTGCAGAACAAAACGAAAAGTAAAGCTACACGTCCTTTGAAGACTTGTCAGAAAAAATAAAAAAAGAAGCAATAATTCTCCACAGCAGTGCTGTCCGGTTTATAGCTATTGCCTTACTTGATTCATGTTCCATTAGTGCAAACTTAACATCAATTACTCACAATTTGCCCTCTGTCGACCCCTGAGAGTACTGGCGAGCAAACAGGTTTTCACAGCGTTACTGACAATGAGTGGCCTTTCACAGCTATTCCTTGAGTTTACACTCTTACCACGTGAAAAAAATGGAGCTTACATAAAGTTAAGGCCACCCGTGCCATGATGAGGCCAGACAGTAACACGGCGGGAACAGGAAATGGGTTTTGTAGCGGGATGCTGTCACCCGGTGGCATCTAATATAACTCCTCGAAATAAATGGCTAAAAAGCGAAATCCCTCGGAATGCGTATATTGATGATTCCGCCTTCAGCAGCAAAGTTTAATTTGACTGCTCTAGTTAAGTTTTACGTTATGGGAGTCATGTGAAGTACCTTTCAAGCTGAGTCACGCTGCGCCTTCGGCAGGAGGAAGCGCAGACTACTGAAACTCAATCGCACCAGCGACACGCTGCCCGTATCAGCGGATGTTTCAAATTCATCGCTGGTGCGCGCGGGAAAGTAATTAAGATTGAGTTTCCGCGAAAAGGTTCAATCGGGCCCACAAAGACGAATCAATACAAGCCGGGAGTCATTTAAAAGGAACAATGACTCTGCGTTTTAGACTTTGACACTGGTACCAGTTTAGTAGAGTCAACTCAAACACAGACTATATAGTGTTTCGAGATAATGGGGGATCGGGCTTGTTTAGTTTGCATCAAGTTCTGCTCCTACGGTGGCAACGAAACCTGAAAGTGGTAACGTCATAATAACAGTAAATATTTGTCTGAAAATCAGTGTGTGGCGCATGAACTTAACTGCCATGTGCCGCGCAACAACATATTCTTATTTGGCCCCTTGTTTTTTTTTTTGAGCAAGTTACTCATCATTCCAAGGTAAAATATTTTTTGTGTAATATTCTTGTCTCCGAATTCTCATTTGTGAGGCAAACAATATACATGGAGTCCTCCGTTTATAATGCTCCCACGATGCGAGGCTTTGAGATTTGAGGTGAACTTTAGAATACGTGGTCACATGGCACCACGAGGAAGGCTCTGTTACTGCTCTACTTACTGAATTGTCATTTGATTTATTTTCATGGCCGAAAAAATGTTTTCCTTTAAATACTAATTATGACTTTACTACTACCTGGCCATAGGCTAGTAATCGACTGCAGTGCGTTCCGACTTGTGTACGTAACCTAACTGTACTACAGTTAGTTTGCGCGCGTTACATTTGCGCTTAATTTTTTTAAGTGCCCCCCCCCCCCCCAATTTTTGTGCTTAGAAAATGATCAACGGGATGTCTATCTCAATGTTCAATGTCATGACGCATGTCTTGGTATTTCCAAATCGTGAGTAGTTTGAATTACATGTATCTATATGTCCAACCATCATCCAAACCGCTTCTCCTCACGAGGGTCGCAGGCGGGCTGGAGCCTACCCCAACTGCCTTCAGGCAGTAGGTGGGGTACACCCTGAACTGGTTGCCAGCCGATTGCAGGGCACACGAGAGACAAACACTCACAATCACTCAAAGGGACCATTTAGAGTGTCCCCATTAACATGTTAAACATGTTTTGGGAATGTGGGAGGAAACCGGATTTCCCGTAGAAAACCCACGCAGGCACAAGGAGAACATGTCGACTCCACACAGGAAGGCCGGACAGAGCCCTGATTTGAACCCTCGACCCCTGCATTGTGAGACAGATGTGCTCACCAGTCTCCCACCGTGCGGCCATCACAGCAGTGGAGTTATCGAATAAGCTAAAAACTAGCCTTGCTGCTGCTTTGTATTTTCTGCGGCACTTCACTGCCTCCCGCTGGTCACTGCGGGTAATATGCAAGGACCCTGCCATGTTCTGTTAAAGTAGATGGACTCATGGTCATGCTGACGGGCTTCTGAGTCGGTCACACTCAGGTCGCCTTTCTCGTCTCCATAAAATGTCAACGTCTCTGCGCTGCCGCGAGCCGTCATATTTGACACGCGACGCTTCTGACAACTCGTGACACGTTATCAGGAATTGAGTCATTCAAATCATTCTTTTCCCCCACCGTGTGTCAGTTACCAGAGGTTGCTGCAGACCATCGGCGTTCTCGAGGCCCAGCGCACGCAGGCCATTCTGGACTTGGAGACGTTGGCGCGGCACCAAAGAGAGGCCCTGGCTGACCCCATCAGCTTTGTGGAACAGCTGCAGAAGAGGGTAACCTAAATATACTCCTTGTTGTTTTTGTTATACTAACTCACCAATGCGGTTTGAAATAGGGCAGTTAATCAATTTTGATTTGTGTTACTTTTCCAACTCGTGTAGTGACAATTTTGGTATGTACGGTGCAACTCTTTGACGACAGACAGACAGACGAGTCATGCCCTGCAGTTTGAAAACCTTTTATGTTCAAGTATAGAACAGTGTCGGTAATTTGATTATGGATCGTTTTTTTACATCCATCCATTCAATTTCTATACCGCTCAACTTCACTGGTGTCGTACGTGAGCTTGGGCATGGCGAGAAAATGAACTGTGAGAGAAATGTGTCACCCACGTGCTGTCTTTAGAAAAATGGCATTTTTTTTTTTCAAAGAGGACTCAATTATTTTGACAGTGTTTGTATTTTCCCATCCTGCATCTGTATTTCTGTTATTTCTGTCGAAATAGATGCAAATTAATGCATGAAAAAAACATGCTAGAAAAAAAAAAGTTTCAAAGCTTGTTTGGTCACAGGAGAAACCAAGCAAATGCCAGAAGCGGAGAACAAAACAACATTTGAATAATGTCCTCTTCATTGACTTTTTTTTTTCTTGAACCAAATTGGGGGCTGATCAAAATAATATAATTGGCCATTTTATTTTCAGGTGAATCTGGGCCTGCCATGCCCCCAGCGTGTCGTTCAGCTCCCGGACGTGGCGTGGGAGCAGTATACTTCCGGCCTCGGGGATTTCCAGAGGGAGCTCTGCGACAAGAAACGCAAAACCAGGCGGCTCAAGCTCATGTTTGACAAAGGTGTGGCGGCGGGTCCAAAATGGTACCCATTTCACGTGCTTTAAATTATTATTTTTTTTTAAACTCCATGTTTAGGTTTGCCTGTCCGACCCAAAAGTCCCGTCGAGCCCAAAAAGGAGTGCGAAACCTCTACCTTGTATTCCTCACTGCCCACAAGTGACGCCCCAGAGAATGGCAGGCAGACGCAGGTACCACTCATCACGTAGCCGGTTTCAAGATTCCACTTGCCCGTCCGTGCTTTGTGTCCGGTTCTCCACATTGTGGTCACTGGTTCCGTTACTGCCATTCCAACATCCTGGGCAATGCTGCTTCATTTGGCGCTACGTCTCTGCCATTTAACATCCCGGTAATGGTTGCTTTGCGTCTACAGATGATCCGGGGTAGGCTTTGTCACTCCAGCAAGCCCGACACCTTTAACCAGCTGTGGACGGCAGAAGAGCAGGCAAGAAAAAAGCATGTGTAGAAATGTACAGCATGAACACCCTGGTGTGTCAGACATTTTGTTTGTGATCACACGTCCTCCGTGTCGTGTTTGGACCTATTAGAAGAAACTGGAACAGCTCCTTCTCAAGTTCCCTCCAGAGGAGGTGGAGTCCAAAAGGTGGCAGAAGATCGCAGACGAGTTGGGCAACCGGACGGCCAAACAGGTGAGATATTAACAAATGATTTTGTCTATTCCTGGCGTCAGGCCGCATCCACCATTTGCAAGCCATTTTCAAAAAAATAAACATTTACTTTTTTTTGTCAACATTTAGCAGTGATTTTGGGTGGCGTCTCCACTATTTGAACTAAAATGTAGTTATTGGATTCGTTTCAATTACACTTGATCAAAATTGGATTTGTTTTAGCTTTTGAAGCATATTTTGACTGAACATGCTTTTGATTGATTAATACTTAATTAAACTATAACTAATAAAAATAACATATTTGATGAATAAAATTAACAATATACAGGATCCATATTTATATACCTTTGCACTAAACTATTTTGAGAAATAAACACTTTTTTTTTTGTGGCTTCTGATGCATCGTTTGACCATAAAATAGTTGACTGATGAAAATGTAATTGTAAGTGAGAGTAATGAGAATACAATGAAAGAATTTTACATTGCATATGCCTGTAAAAATACAAGTGGGGTGGTCTTTATGCGGCTCAAACGAATGAGGATGATTGTTAATAAATAAGCAATTCAACATACTTTACTTCTATATTATAAAAAAAGTAATGCCATCATGGTGATCATAATTTAATTGTTAATAAATGAAGCAATGAAACATATTTTACATGTATATTTTAAAAACTTAATGCCATTTTTCATTTGGTTTCTTAATGATATGTTGCCTGGAAATTTGGTTAGTTCATGAATTAATATGTAATGAGGTATAAATCATGAAAGTATAGAAAATGTCACTCTCGCTTTCTTTGTGTGTGCGTGAGATAGTTAAAATGTGTATTTAATTTGTTATTGTCAATTGGACTATACTTTTGCATGCAGTTACCCCCTGCCAAAGACGTTTATGCTGTATGTGGCTACATGTATGATTGCCGTGTGTGACCTCTGTTGTCATTTGCCTGTGACATGGTTGCAGGTTGCCAGTCGGGTCCAGAAGTACTTCATCAAACTGACAAAAGCTGGAATCCCCGTGCCTGGAAGAACGCCTAACCTGTATATGTACACTAAGAAGGTACAGGAACGCCTTGACCCCCCCCCCCCTTCCCCCCAACACAAAATAGTGCATACTTTCTGTTTGTTGATCAAGGCGAGCAGCAAGAGGCAGCACCACCTCAACAAACACCTCTCCCGGCCATCCACCTTCCTCACCTCTTACGAGCCTCCCGTGTTTATGGACGACGACGACGAGGACGACGACGAGCGGGTGGCGTTCTACGGCGCCATGCACGACCCCGCCGACGATGACTCGGTCAGTTTGCGTCCTTCGTACTTATTCGCCTTTTTTGATGTGCAATGTGTCCTCGGCATCCCAAAGGCCATCTGAATTAGTTTTTACACAGATGCCGTGTATTCTGTGCAGCCACCAACACCGTGGCACTGCCCATCATTAGTTAAGTTGTGTTTGCCAGTGCGGATATTTGGTCTGGCTTCCTTTCAACCATTTCTTTTTATTGATCATTTGTTGGGGTGTGTTCCCAGGACGAAGACGTCATCCCCGTTGAGCTGCGTAACCTTCCTGAGTATAAAGAGCTGGTGGAGCTGAAGCGTCTGAAGAAACAAAAGCTTCAGGAGCTCCGCGAGGACAAAGCCGGCGTGCGACACCTGGGATACAAGGTGTGATGCTCATGACCACGATAAACGGCGTTCCACCTTAAATGCGTATCACAGACATTGGGTGTGTGTATGTGTGTGTAGTGCGACATGTGCGGCATCGAACCCATCCAGGGTGTGCGATGGCACTGTCTCGATTGTCCGCAGGACAGCGCCGTGGATTTCTGCACCAACTGCTCAGACTGGTGAGTCACGAGACACAATTACACTCAAGATACACGGCAGTTACGCTTCATTAGGTCATACGTTAGCGCAAGACGTTAACAAGCACAGTAAACTTTTTTAATTTTTCTACTCCGGAGCATTTTCACATAGAGGATTCAAAAAATGCTGCACGTATGTAGAAACAGAAAATGTTGTCATACTGCGACACGTGATGCAGCCAGCAGACTGACTACTCCTCGGACAGACGTCTCGCACTTTGAATCCTAAAATGACTATTTTATTCCTTGCAAGTTAAAATATTTCTCGCCATCTAAAAGTCCAATTAATCCTTGTAAAATTACAATGTAGATACTGTTTAGATACTGTCTTAAAAAAAATAATTGTAATATGAATTTGTCTTGAGTTGAAAAAAATATCACCAAAGACTTTCTCAAAATATGACTGGGGCAATGTAACTTCATTCTCACCATGCTTCTATTTTTTCCCATTGAAAAAAAAAAAAAAAACACTCTCGAGAAAATGCCACTTTTTTTTTAGGTAGACAGGTTTCATTTTATTTTTATTCTAGAAAAACTACAACTTTATTCTTGGGAATGCATGTAAAATAAATACAATCATAAGATGATGACTTTTTTTTCACTAAAAAGTAACTGCTTCAAATATTAGTTTCCTCAAAATATCTGTCTAAAAAAATCTTTACACTCATGAATATTGCACTTGTTTTTCTTGGAAAATTGCCAGCTGCCATCGTGGATGTGCAATTTCACTTTCCTCTCGTATGGCTATTTGCGACATAAGATGAGCACTCACTTATCCCTCTTTCTTTTCTTTTTCTTTACCCCGCTACAGCTTGTTGAAGACCGAGACCCACAAGCCAAACCACCACTTGGACCCCGTGTACCAGCCCGAGACTTTACTAGACAGCGATTACCGTCTGCCGCAGAGCACCAGCTACAACTACCTGGACCCCAACTACTTCCCGGCCAACAGATGACAGACGAGCGGCAGGCGCCCGTAGCTCCACCACACGCACTCGTTCTCTTCCTGTCTCGTTCTCTCCCTTCTCTCCGGTGTGCTTGGCTGCATTATCACGCCGCCATGTCGGAACACCACCAGATGGGTGGGGGGCGAACAGAGCAGCACAGCCGCCGCCGCTGCTGGTGGGGCGGCTCAGTCGTTGGGCCACCATCTCAGCAAGGTTAATTAATTCATGGATCTTTTCAGTGAAAAAAAAAAACAAAAGTGAAGGCAACATTCCCATGTGTCAAGAGTGCCAGTGTCGCACCGCTGCATTTCAAATGCAGGCACAGTGTTTTTTGTTTTTTTTCCTCCCTCCCCCTCTCTCACCCATCAGTGTTTGCCGCCATGGATCACGTGAAGTGTTTATGGAGACAAGTAGTTGGCGCTAGTTGTTGTGTGTGTGCCATTTAAAACAATACAAAACAAACAAAAAAAAAAAAACATTGTTTTGTCGGTCATCTTTCGGTTTAAGTCCATGGAAAAAGATTGTATTTTTATTAATCTATTTAAAAAAAAAACTTAAAGATTTGAGGTGGTGTTTGGTGCCTCCACTTTTATACACGAAGACACTCGCGCACACTCAAATACACACACACATACATGCCCATAGATCTTGTTTGTGCAGACTAGACACCATTCTCACCTCTCAGTCCCCCCACACCCCTGCTTCAATATCTGTGTATAACAAGTCTGTTCTTATGTAAAAAAACAAAAATGTACAAAAAAAAAAATGCTAGAGGAGAAGCGTGGAAATAAAAAGTATGTGAAAATAGTTTTTCCATTCACGTTCTTATTGACAGATGATTTTATTTTGGTAAGTAGGTACTGTGTAACTTCCAAAGTCGTGTGAATCTCAGGAGCTGTCTCCAATGGGTGAGTGTCATTTACTTTTAGTTTCATGAAACAGTGGTTTTACTTTTGTAGGATGCTTATGAATTTCTAAATCTGGCAGCGAAGGTTGCAATGATCTTAGCTACATTATACATTGATGTGAAAAAACACCTTTTTCCATAACCGTAATATTGAGGTTTTGAAATGACATATATTGGAAAAAAAAAAATCAAACAATTTTAATTGACGTTAGTTATTTCGGCATAATTTAATGAATGAAATGACGCCTTCAATCACTGTAATGAAACTAAACATTTCTAACTGTATGCATACAACTGGCCTCAAATGCATGTTCAGAATTGTTCCAATTACTCTTTTGTACATGATATAAATTATTTCATGTTGTCATTGCGCTTTTTGACCGACAGGGGACGCTGTTACATCACATGAAAAAGTCCAGTGGTCAAAATGCACAACTTTATTGAAACGTAAATAGCAGACACATCGTAACTAACCTTGCAAATGTACAAATATTTTATTTGTTTTGTCCTTGGATGATCCTCAAGTTTGACAGTGAATGCATGCTTCTTGTTTACCATACAAAATATGAAGATGTGATGTGCGTGACGGGATCAGTCTGTGTTCTGCTGCTGTGGCGCCCTTGAATCATACAGCCAAAACTCCGCCCACTCAAACCAATTCACGGTTAATAGGGAGAATCAAAAATTCACGTGACAACCGGGTGAACAGTTAGTGTGCGTTTACGTGTGTGTGTGAGTGTCTGCGTTAACAAGTCAGATAGCGGTAGAGGACTCCATCACCTGGCAGATTTGAGCGAACACTTGGTCAGGTGACCTCTCGGCATCAATCTGCAAAATAAAACGTCAAGTCAGAAGTCACATTAAAGATGGATAATTATTTGGAATTATTTATCTTGGGTCTCCTTTTCTTAATACAGTACCACAAAAACCTGGCATTTCAAAAGGGGTGTGTAGACTTTTTATACCACCTGGACATATTTGCCCACCCCTTTTCTATGTCTAGCTCTGCAGGTGTTACCATTCCACGACGCACTAACCGTGTGCAGTAGCTTCTTTCCGTCGTAGTGTTCCACCAGCGGCTCGACGTCTGCCCAGAAACTGTCGGCCCTCCAGCAGGGGGCGCCATCTTTGTCCGGAGCTGATACCATGGACGAAGCGGAACTCCGGCGGCTCTGCAGACGACTGGTGAGGGTTTGAGTCGAACAGCTGAGCAGGAGCACCGCAGTAGGCTCACCCATCTGAGACACGCACACTTATGTTAACTTCCTGTTAACCATATAACCATACAAGAAGACAGGTGACGCGTACCCACCTTGGCCTCGTACAGCTGAGCCTGTCTCAGGTCTACGGGGAAGCCGCAGACCACCACGCCCCTGGCCTGCCGTCGAGTTGCCGCCGCCGCCACCGTCTCGCAAAGCACATCCATGGTAACGTCCTGTGTGAAACACGAGCACGCATGTCAGCCAATCATATTCTTGTTGGGCCCGTGCTTCAACCATTCAGTCTTTTATGTTGACCTATCAAATTCTTGATTTACCCTCCAATTAGCTTCAACTAAACAACTTCTAGCCTTGCATGTTCCTTTTGATGGTCATCAATCAGCTTTTTTCTTTTCTGGTGACCAATCAGCTCCAAAAGTGATTTTCTTGTCTCGTCTGTTACTTTTAAAATGACCAGTCATTAAAGCACTCATCTTGTATGTGGAACAATCAACTTCTTGTTGAATCTTCCTTTCAAGTCGACTATTACACAGCTTCAAGCAATCAACTTTCAGTCTTGCTTGTTCTTTTAAAGCCCATCACTCAGTTTCATGAGCTTCTAGCCTGTTCCTGTTGGAAGGACCAGTCAGCTTTAAACATTCAGTTTAGCCTCTTTCTGTCCACCAATCCTCTTCTTCAGCCAGGTGTGTGTTACATCAACCAATCAGCTTCTTGTTTTGCCTGCTCCTTCTTTAGACCAAACAGCTTTTTGTCTAATCTTTGACTCCACCGCAACCCCCAAATGGCAAAACTCTGGCTGTCATGTTGGCTTTTCTGTGACATTTCACTTCAAAACTCACCTGCACACGCACACGCACACACACACACACACACACACACACACACACACACACACACACACACACACACACACACACAATTTGATGCCTTTGAACATGTAACAGTGTGTTTGTGTGCGTGTGTGTTCAGTCAAAGTGGACCAAAGAGAGGTCACTGCTGTCATTTGCTACATTAAAGTGCACAACCCCAAACTGCTGAGCTTTGAAACAAAGTCACCCATCTATTTGGTATACCCAGAGGCGGGTGCATTTCGTACCCGAGCCTTCAGTGAGGACTGGAATTTGCCCAAAATGTCCGACTTCCTCTTCAAATTCCTGAATGGATCCGTAAGACTTTTTCGTCCCAAATGTGCTCAGCAGGGAAACTGGCATTGGTGGTGGCTGATGTTGCATTCACTGACCTCAGGCAGGGGCTCTCCTCTCTGCAGGACATCCCGCAGGTGGCGCCCCCTGTCGCCGGGAGTCTGCATCTCGCTACACAGCACGTCGGCCAAGGTCAAGGCACGCAGGCCCAGCTTGTCCTCCATGCGCTCGCACTGTGCGCGCTTGCCCGAGCCCGCGGCACCTGCAGGCATGTGCGCACACGCACGCGTGACATGTTATTCATGTAAAAATTGACTTTTATGACCAATGACACAAACGTAGCCAACAAATGTTTACGATTAGTGTCAAAAATACATTTGGGGGCTCAAAGTTATCATTGATTAAATTTGCTCTTAACCAGTTTTATTAATTCAAGATGTCATGATTCAAATTATTTTAGAATGGGGAAATAATTGTGCATTTCATACACCGTTCACTCAAAGTGCTACGCATCATTCAAATTACATTTAGAATCATTTACAAACAAAAGAATGAATGAAATAATTAAACGCCAAAGAAATCCCAAGTATCTAAAATAAGAAAGTAAAGCGGGATTTGAAGGAAAAGTAATTGTTCAAATAAAACTTATTGGTGTATAGATTTTTTTAAATTGTTTTTTTTTTTGACTCCCTCATTCAGCTAAAAAGTGATGATGAAATAACAAGGTCATTCGATTGTGCAGGTGCGTCTAATAATCCCCTTTGCATGTCGGCGTGTCATCATGAAGTTCTCGTCGGATCATTAGCATGATGCTGATGCGAGCTGTCCTAGTGGCAGACAAATATTGAAGTCATTATCGCCATACCGCTTCCACTCTGTTCAATAAGCCATCCACAGTCGGATTGGATTTATTTATTTTTTCCTCTTCTAACGAATCGCCGGAGAAGGCCGATTCCGTGTGGATTTGATGGGTTGCCATGACGACAACAGGGCCGGCAGACTTTTTGCAAAGTCACAGCTTGAACCTTCATGCGTTCTTCTCGTTAGTGTGCGCGATGTTTACTTCCTTTACAGCAACTCCTATACTTTTTGTTCTTCTACTTTCTTCCTTTCAAAAGTTTGCTGCTGTAAATTGGGAATTTCTCCATTGTGAGACGAAGAAATGTTTTCTTAATCTTATATTCTTATTATATATGTATCGACTGTTCCCCATTAAAAAAAAAAAGGTCATTAAATGTTTTTCAATTATTATTTTAAAACCCACAACCATTATTATCATTTACGTGTTTTACTCATCGTGTATCGTACAATTGTGTATTCATGGTTAGACCAGTGGGCGCCTTTGCTGTCTTGTAATTATATGACCATCGTGACCGCAAGCCCTCTCGGCACCCTGCCTGTCAAACATGGAGGCTGAAATGTACGTGGACCAACGTGAGCAGCCTTGACTGTCAATCTCGTGTTTGAATTCAGCTCCGACTAATGAGTTTTGCTACACATTGTGCTGTGCGTGCGAGTGTGTGCGCGTACCCATCAAAAAGATGACCTTCGGCTTTTTGGGCAATGTGCAAAAACCTGTCAGAGAAAAAGAGAGCAAGGTTCACTTTAGCATGTTACACACACACACACACACACACACACACACACACACAGAGATATATGCAGATGAAGTGTTGTTGTGCAATCGGACACCCAAATTGTCTTTGATGTTGACAAAAAACAGTTTGCAAAATCTACCATCGGTTCATTGGCGATTCCAAGTTGACAGCGTTTACAAACGCCAAGTGCCTTTTAGTGAATGACAACTCTTCATAAGCTGTCCTTGATTACAGAAAACACGTACGCTACGTTGTCGACATGCTGCGGTGGCGCGCCGCGAGCGAAGCAACGGCAAGCGGAAGATAAACATCAAGGCTTAATTGGCCAGCCCTCCCCAGACAATTACACAATCGATGGTGATAAACCACCCCGACACACACACACACACACACGCACGCACAACGAGCGCATAATGCAGAGACATTTAATGCCTGAAGGCGTGATGGGAGGTGAATATTTTAACATCTGCATCTTCAACTCACTTTCTTCACTTCCTTCGGTGTACCCGAGCTCTTCTTCCTCTTCATCCTAAACACACACACACACACACACACACACACACACACACACACACACACACACACACACACAGGCTATTTATGACCACTCTCAGTTGAAGTTGACTGTCAAACTAAACATAAAACAAAGTTTTTGCGTATTTGATACAAGTTGGGCTTAGGAAAGTCAGTTTAGCCGAATGCGAACAAACGATACAAAACACCTGAGGCAGGCAAACGAAAGGCACCAGATGAAACGAAACTCACAGGCCAATGTTCTTTATCCTCTTTATCGCATTTAAAGCCTTACAAGCCAAATAAACAAGAGATTTTATTACTTGAGCTTTCAGTGTCATTTTGTTTTGCTTCTCTTCTGGGTTTTAGACAAGCGCCTGCCAAGACAAACATCACCTCCGTCTTTCATCTCACCTCCCACGATCATTGAAGAAAACGGCGTGTGAAAAGTGAGCCTGGAAACATTGCATCGCTAACTGTTTTTTTTTTTCCTTCTCTAATGTCGATTTAATTGTTTATTTAACAGATGCTGTAAGTTGTTTACACAGCCACCGACTGCACATCGGAGAGCTGCCGAGCAAATGCAACAAAACTGGTTCAAGCTTCTTCGACGTATGTAAGATTCATTGAAGATTTGAACTTCTCTTTGGCTAAATTGTCAAATTGCATGTTAGGTGTCATGGAAGGTGTCATGGAAGACTTAAGTGTCTTTGATGCTGAACTTTTTGGAAGATTCGAATTTGTCTTTGTCGCTCCAGACTAAACTTTCAGACATTTTATGGAAGCTAGGTTCACTTAGGATGAAATTATCTTTGCGGTTGATGAACACCGTTATGCTAGGTTCACTGAAGACTCTCAATGTATTTTGGTTCCGAAAACATGAACAGCAGGTTCATCCATGACTCCAAATAATATTCGATTTTCCCCAAAACACAAAAACCACGTTAGGTTCATTTCAGGCAAAAATTGTCTTTGACATTTACATTCACCGAAGACTGGAAATTGTTTCTGATGTTACAAAAATGGAAAACCATCTGCGTTAGGTTAATTGAAGACTACATTGTCTTTGATGTGAACGTTTTTTGTCTTGTTTACAACGTTAGGTACACCATTGTCATTGATGCCCCACAATTTCGCAACCACCATATTTTCCTGTCCAATGAAAACGGAATGGACTTTTTGGATCGTGAAAACCAACTTACCTCATCGTTCTTTTCAGCAAAGTCGCCTAGGATGTTGCATTCAGGCCACAGACTGAGATCCGGCTCACTTGAAGCTGTGGGCGAGAAAAGTAGAACTATGTGTGTCCTACTGCATGGGACCAAAGTCCCGAAATTCCCATAGTCCGCATAAAACCACCAAGGCACATTTGTGAGCCGATTAAAGAATGTACGGTTGAGAATCAGCATCAAGCGCGGTGGAAATGGTTCGAAGTAACACTTCCCTTTGGCATTCTTCATCCGCTCATTAAAAAAAAAAGTGGGTTAGACTCGAGAGAGACAGCAGCTTGCATATTTTCACATTTCTTCGCGATTCATGCATTATGTAACGGCGCGTTTCAGAAAGCAGCACGTTCTGAGGAGGAAGCACGAGCACTCTGCGACTCTAATTGTGATGTACGTTTACATCCACCGAAGACTAAATCTCTTCACAGCTATTATCCAAATGGAAGAGTCGACATGTTTTTAATGACTACATGAAATCAGGACTCTAAATTGTCTTTGAGGAATATGAAAACATGTACGTTAGGGTCATTGAAGAATCCAATGTTCAGTGAAGACTTAAACACGTACGTTTCGGTTCACCGAAGCTTACGAACGCTATTTTATGTCCGATGGACTTTGCTGTTTTCATTTAAGATCAAATTGTCTTGGATTTTAGAAAACGGAAAGTGCGCAGGGGCTTGATCAAAGATTCTCGCTGTTCATTGATGTCATGAATCAAAGACTCAAAATTGTCATCAATCTGTAACTCGGGTTCGCTAATAATTACACATGGTTGACGTTTCCGAAAACGTTTTCTTTGATCGTTGAAAACGCTCAACTGTCTTTGATGTTTACGAACGCGCGCGTTTAGGTTCAATTAACATGACCAGTGGGAGGGTCTTAATCAGATTCAACTGGAACGTGCGCCAAGACTACCAGAGCTAAAGAAATCAAGTACCCGGCAAGAGAAATATCACAGCAATATTTGATTGTCTTGGATGTTTACAGTGAAGCGTTAATTTCTCTTTGAGGTTTACGCTGCCATGCCATCACGGCTGTCCCCATACAACAAATATGCCTCCTCTCAGTTGGTATGAGGAAACTACGTCGGCGCTTTGACGCCGTGCTGTGACTTGACTCAATTGGAATCCGTTGACAACTTCTCTTCCTCCGTCTGCTCGGAACCTGCTGACATTTCCCGTCCTGACGTCGCTACATCCAACCCATCACTGACGCTCTGGTGACACATCTCCTCCTACTCATCCTCTCTGTCGTCATTGGCACCCAGATTTTTTTTTTTTTGCGGCGCTATTAGAGAATATCAAGTCACTTCTTTGGAAGACTCGGGGACAAATTGACAAAAGCAAGAACTGCACCCGCAGTTTGCTATTCACGAAGGATATTGCGCTAAGGACATACCAGCGCTAGCATGCTTGAGAGCAAAGTGCAGATTGCCCCTAATTCCCCCCCCCCACCCGGTTGCAATAAACCAGAGAGGGCAAAGTATAAATTTGCGCAAAACAACAGCATAGCAGAACAACGGCAGTTTGGAAGAGAAAGATGACATTTTCAGGACACCAGTTCAGGGTCCTGCAAATGTCAGAAAACTTTTATCACTCGTCCCCAAAAATTCACAAGCGCATCATCTCTCTTCAAGGCCACATCAATCTCTGAAAATATCAAAACAATGCGCATTAAAAATAGACGCAAATAACACATTCTGCTTGGCGACGCAGCTAGTGAAGCATTTCGCCATCTGCGCGTGTTGTGAATTGGATGCTATCTTTTTGCCCCATTTCTATTAGTTAGCACCATGCTAACGCATCACACCTTAAGCCAGGTACAAACACATAAAATTAGCTTGAATGATAGACAGGAAACATGCAGTGTGACTGAGATCATCTACGTCTTGTTAGGTGCTGCTGTTTTGGTTCACAAAAGAGTTCAAATGTACTCCGCAGTTTGACTTTTCTTGTCCGAGCAGTTGCATCGATGAACTGAGGCACACGCTTCCGGTTTTCATCTAATTGGCGTATCCATTAGATTTTTTTTTCCCCCCCATGACTAATTGAGGCAGGGCTTACTGGCCTGCTGGGATATATTTGGAGACAAACACGGCACCCCCCAAAAGAGCATTCGCAACACCGCCTTACGCAACCGATGGCAAGTAGCCGTCATCTGACCTGAATGATTGTGCGCTTCTCACAAAGCTTAGCTAGCCCCGCACTGCCGGTTGCCATGCCAACAAGCACCGTAACCAGGGAGATTTTTTTTTTTTTTTTGTTATCTCACCTTGCTTCCTGATAAACTCACAACTCTACAGATGTAATAAGATATTATAGAGTACGTAGCTCAATAGTGTATTCGTTGACAAGGGAAATTCACTGTTGCTGTGAAAACACAACACGAGCCAAAGCAGGCGTGCTGAATTACTATTAAAGATCTGTAAAATATTCACACATATCTATCCAAGTCCTTTTTTTTGGGGGGGGGGGGGGGCCAAACAAAAAAAAAAAACTAAAATAAAAATCAGACTGTCAGTGCAGTCTGAAGGTCCAGAATAGGAAGCATGGTGACGAGTGTGCATGTTGACAGTTGACGCAATCTGATCATATTGCTTTTCCCTGCCAGGGTGGAATT